CAAATATATAAAACACATATAAGATATATTTTGTGAGGAGTTGTCTGTGTTTTAGTCTTTTGGAATGCCCCATTACTTAGATCATTGCGTAAGTCAGGTATGTGATGTTAAAGAAGTTTTTATGTGATTCAGGCATAAGTCCAACCAGCAAAGTTTATATATTTTTCTGAATTTCATTATGCCAAAGAAATTTCATATAATTTGATGCATTTGATTAACATTTTTCAAATGCTTATATGTATATAGAATACATAAAAAAAAAATAATAAACTGTGTGAAGAGTTGTGTGTGTTTTAAGAGGTTATCTGTCACACATGGCTGCAATGCCTGCTAGAAGGAACGTTTCTGAGAAACGAGATTCTTGTAGCACTGGTTTAAACGGGAGGATTTCTAGAAAAAAGAGCCCCACCTGAAGCAAAGTTCCGCATAGCTATGGAAGCAATGTTGGGATTTTTTTCAAACTTCACCAAAATGTCTCAGGTCCTGGGTAGAGATAATGAATCAGACGAAAGTTCAGCTTCTGAAGGATCCAAGGATCGTGATTTGAGCGATAATCGATTACTGTTTCTCGTTTAACTGATTGTAGTAAGTGAAAATGGTAACCTAATTACGTATGTTTCCTGGAATTGTACAGGTTCTGAGAATTTTCCCTTTTGATGTCACGTCCCACATAGCCGAAACATAATGTGATTGGGACCTTAGGCTTTTGGAATGCCCCATTACTTAGATAATTATGTAAGTCTGGTACGTGATGTTAAAGAAATTTTTATATGATTCGGGCATAAGTCCAACCAGTAGTATTTATATATTATTTAGGATTTCATTATGCCAAAGAAAGTTCTTATAATTTGCATCCATTTGACTAAAATTTTTCAAATGCTTATATGTATAGAATACAAAAATTATATACTGTGTGAAGAGTTGGCTGTGTTTTAGGCTTTCGGAATGCCCCATTACTTAGATCATAACGTAAGACAGGTTTGTGATGTTAAAGAAGTTTTTATATGATTCAGGCATTAAGTCCAACCAGTAAAATTTATATATTTTTTCCTGGATTTCATTATGCCAAAGAAATTTCATATAATTTGCACGCATTTGATTAACATTTTCGAAATGCTTATATGTGTAGAATACATAAAAAATATACTGTGTGAAGAGTTGTGTTTCAGGCTTTTGGAATGCTCTCATTACTTAGATCATTACGTAAGTCAGGTATGTGATGTTAAAGAAGTTTTTATATGATTCAGGCATAAGACCAACCAGTAAAATTTATATATTTTTCTGGGTTTTATTATGCCAAAGAAATTTCTTATAATTTGCACGAATTTGATTAACATTTTTCAAATACTTAATTTATAGAGAGCATAAAATATATACTCTGTGAGGATTTGTCTGTGTTTTAGGTTTTTGGAATGTCCCCATTACTTAGATCTAACATTTTTCAAATACTTAATTTATAGAGTGCAAAATATATATACTCTGTGAGGATTTGTCTGTGTTTTAGGCTTTTGGAATGTCCCCATTACTTAGATCATTACGTATGTCAGGTATGTGATGTTAAAGAAGTTTTTATATGATTCAGGCATAAGTCCAACCAGTAAAATTTATATATTTTTCTGGATTTCATTATGCCAAAGAAATTTCATATAATTTGCATGCATTTGATTAAAATTTTTCAAATGCTTATATGTATAGAATACATAAAAAATATACTGTGTGAGGATTTGTCTGTGTTTTAGCCTTTTGGAATACCCCGATCACGTATGTCAGGTATGTGATGTTAAAAACGTTTTTGTATGATTCAGGCATAAGGCCAACCAGTAATATTTATGCATTTTTCTGGATTTCATCATGCCAAAGAAATTTCTTATATTTTGCAAGCATTTGGTGAACCTTTTTGAAATGCTTATATGTGTAGAATAAATAAAAAATATACTGTGTGAAAAGTTGGCTGTGTTTTAGGCTTTTAGAATGCCCGATTACTTAGGTCATTACATAAGTCCGATATGTTATCTTAAAGAAGTTTTTATATGATTCAGGCATAAGTCCAGCCAGTAAAATTTATACAGTCAAAAGTCGTTAATTCGGACTCGTCTGGACTTCGGCGATTCCGGATTATCGATTTTTCCCGATTATAGATCATCAGTTTAAATCTCGTAAGATGGCATGCAGAAATTCTAAAATTAAAAATATGAAACTGTAATTTATGAAATAAAGAACAATTATGATCTAAAGGGTATCAAAATTTACAAAAAAAAAAGCTTAATATTTATTTGTTTACTTTATTAAACATTTCTTTCAATGTAAGTTGTTTAAATTGCTTCGTTTTATGTGATAATACTTTCTCTTTAATTCTATAAACAGACATGATTTCTTGTTCAGTTACAAAGTTCCGCTGTTCAAGTCCCGTTAATTGCTATGCCGCAATTAAGGCATAAGTCAGGCATTTTCAGGCATAAGTCCAACCAGTAAAATTTATATATTTTTCTGGATTTCATTATGCCAAAGAAATTTGTTATAATTTGCATGCATTTGTTTAATATTTTTCAAATGCTTATATGTCCAGAATACATAAAAAGTATACTGTGTGAGGAGTTGTTTGTTTTTTAGGCTTTTGGTATGCCCAAAGGCATTGCTCGTTTTTCATCTTGCCTGGTTTAAAAATATACCTAATGTCTCTACAATTGCGTCGCCTAAAAACCCTAATCGCCCTTTAAAGGGGGGAGTATATATTGTATTTCTCACGCCTTCTTAGTGTGCCTTGGCGCATATTCCAGAGGGCCATGGTTCGATTTCTGGCAAAGGCGTTTCTCATTTTTCATGTCTCCCGCATTCAAAAAATACCTAATATCTCTACAGCATTTCGAAATGATTTTTCATTCTCTTTAATAACTTTTTGTTTTGGGAGATGTGAATTCTTTTATTAAATTGCTCTAAATTTTTTGACTTATCAACATTTTGGCTATTTTAAGATCAATTTCTATACAAAATTTTTAAATTGTAGATTTTTCACAATTTTTTTTAAATATTATACAGACTAATTTCATTAAAATTAATGGCAATATATTAAAATTATGCTTAAGAATTAACATTAAAATAAAATGTTTCTATTTTTTTGCTGTCATATATATATATATATATAAAGTGGACATTACTTTCCATTTTGGCAAAATATTTTGCAATATTTTGAATCTGGAAAAATAAGAAAAGTAATTAATGCTGTATAGTATACTTTATGAAACAGTTCTTAGCAAGAGCAAAATAGCTATGTAATGATTTTAAAATGGCTTTTTATTTTTCAGGGTAAGAGTTTTCCCCGTGTAATTGTCTCAGAATATTCAGAATTCTTAGGATATGCATCCGCTTCTCTATTAAATTCATTTTACACTTTTTTCTCTGAATTTTTTAAAAATACTTAAAGCTTTTTGCTGTTACAGAATTGGGGTAATTTTTCTTTCCGATTTTAGACGTTACACCTTGGTAAGTTTACAAGGATTTGAAAGCAAGATTTATAGACCTATGATTATAGAAGATCCCAGAAAAGTGTGATAAAATGAAAAATATCTTCATGGTACTAACATATAATGGAAGTGTTTTACAAGGAATTTGTAACTATTTTCTCACATTTTGGAGAATTGTTGGAAAACAATGAAAGCATAATATTTGAATGTTTTAATTTTGATCCTACAAGTCTTTCACGTAAGATGTTTATCTTCCATTTATTTTTATTCTTTTCACTAGGTATAAGCATGGGAAAGAGTAAAAAGGCGTCTAAACTTGTCACATGGACCGGCATATATAGAAAGAAAGTTTCCTATTATTAAAGAAATTGAAAACTGACAATTTACAAGATTCATCTTATATGTCTCAATGCATCATACACAAGGCTAGCGCTAGGCATTTTCGCACCTGATATAATTAATCTCTGTGGGTCCTAAGTTCTGCTCCCAGTACCTGTCCTAAATTTTAAAAGTTCTGCCATTTCTACATTTTGTTGGTCTGTTCGTGAATAAATTCTAAAAATCTGCCACACTGGCTCTGTAACTGGCCCTGATCATCACTGAAGAAGAAATTATGTCTGTGTATAGAATTAAAGAGAAAGTATTATCACATAAAACGTAGCAACTTAAACAACTTACATTGAAAGAAATGTTTAATAAAGTAAACAAATAAATAGTAAGTTTTTTTTTTTTTTTTTTTCTTTGTAAATTTTGATACCCTTTAGATCATAATTGTTCTTTATTTCATAAATTACGGTTTCATATTTTGAATTTTATAATTTCTGCATGCCATCTTACCAGATTTAAACTGAGGATCTGTTATCCGGAAACGCCGAAGTCCCGACGAGTCCGGATTAACGACTTTTGACTGTATTTGATTTTTGTGTCAAGAAAATCAGCGTTCGACCATTTTTTAAATTTTTTGATGTTTATAATATGTGCAAAAGGTCTGTTTGGTTGAGAAATCAGTCTTGATCCAATTTGCCTCCCTTTTAATACAAGAATCCAACATTTTCATCATCATTGTTCACTTTTTGCCTCTTCGAGGGCTCTGGTTTTTGAATACGCATTTTATGATATATCTTGGAACCAATATAATTCCAAATACACAGGTGTTACAATGTTACAGAAGTATTTAATTTTCATGATTATTTCTTCACATAACCAATGCATTGCATTCACTTTATGCAGTCACTTTTGAATAGGATAAGCTAAGAGAAAGAAATACGTGTATATTATCATGCATGCAGGTTGAGAGCAAAATAAATTTATCTTTCAAGTAATGGAAATAATATAATATAATAAAGGCTTTTGCCTTTCAGGCAGGAAAGTTTTTGAAATTGAAAACCCTGCATAGAAAATTTAAGCTCTAAATATGGTTGTTACATCTATCATTTGTTTGTTTGGAATTTTCTAAGTATGGTATCGTAGAAAGTATGTACTATTTGAATGTTCTGTTTGGGTTGCTTTTAAATTTGTTACTTTTATAACCCTTTACAGGTCCTGCAATGGTGCCTCAATATTATGGCATGCCTCCATGGGGCATGTTTCCTACTCCAGGAATGGTACAGGGTGGACAAGGGCAAAATCCAAATACTCAGCAACAGCTGTTGCGTGGTGGCGGCGCTAGGCCTATGACTCCTCAAGGCCCAGGTGCTGATACCATGGCACAAGGTGGTGGTGGTATGCCTCAGGGCATGCAAGGTCCAGGTATGAGAAAATATGAACATAATCAAAGAGTTCCTAGAATTTAATTTTAAGAATTGTGTTATAATTGTGATATTCTCTGTTTGGTTAAAACATAATGAAGGGCCATTGTATTGGTGAATAAAATAAACTGATGTATAAGGCAATTCAATTCTTTTAATCAGAGTGCATGGAGAAAATTATATTTTTTGCTACCATGTTTCAAAATATCTTGACTGTGTAAAATGTTAACTCTCTAGCACTCATTTTATTGGTAAATTTCATTTTAAGAGTTATTTATTAAGTACATTTTTCTTAATTTATATTGTAGTAAAATATGTCATTTTCTTGCTGTTTTTTTGGGCTAGTGCATTATTTTATTTTTATTCTTTATTATTATTTATTGCGAGATATTTTGGGGAGAAAGTAATCGTGAATTGTTTTTAGATGGAAAATACATTATATTAGAGCTGGTCATTGTTACTGTTTATTAGACAGAGCTATTTAAATGGAGTTGTGAAGAGTGTGTATTTGAAACGGATAATGAATATGGATGAACTTAAATTATGCAACACTAGATGAAACTGCCATAGAGTAGTTTGTCTTACAGGCCAGTTTATTATGAATTTTCTGTGAAATACAGTTTTAAAATTCTTGTACAATGCTACTGAACATTCTTTTACAGATAAAATCAACTTTTTCTTCCGACTCCCCTTTACAAGTATTGACTAATTTTGGGAGAATTAACTAAAAGTTATTTTTAAAAATTAGCTGTCAATGTTTCCAGCCTTCTGCAGAAGCAATAATTTATTTTTCCCCACACGATTAATGCGAGGAACAACTCAAATTTAACCTTAAGTATTTGAATTCATTTATTAGATAGGAAATGTTTTATCAGCTGCTTTTTTTTTTTTTTTTTTTTTTTTTTTTTTGTTGTTTGTTGTTGTTGTTGTTGGGGGGTGTATTGCATTTGATAATTGCAGAACATACAAGGGTATCTGCCTAAGAGCAGAGAAGGAGCTTCATGGAGGATTTTGTAGGGAAAACTGTATCATAATTATCTTACAGAAGGGTAAGTACCTTTTAAGGACAGGACATTTGAAACCTCAGATATTGCAAATGTTAGTGATTTGAAATTCTAAAAATTGGATTTTTGAAATTTTTGGTCATTTGAATCTTAATCTAACATATCGTTAAATGTTATAACTCAGAACTTTGACAAGATTAATTTTATGTCATCCAATAAAAGTATTCATTAAGCGAGAATATGATGGTGACAGTTTTGATGATATCTGAGTGACTACTATTGTCTTGTGATGACTTTGAGTACTGTTCTCTTTCATATGCGCAGACTCCAACTACTACTCATATGCGCAGACTCTCCAACTACTACAGATTCTCCGTAGTTCCTATGAAAATTCCTAATAAACTGGGAGCTACAAAAAATATGCGAAAAACTACAGATTTTACAGAAACAAGGTATTAGAACCAGTATGCAAAATGGAACTAACTAATTCATCTGATGATTGGCAGAATACTCATGTCATCACGTGCTGTGTATATTGCTGGCTTGGAAGAAAAGCCAATTGTAGATCAGTGCAACTCTAACCGTTAATATCTCTATTTATAGTTCCCTGCACTCCCAGGATCTTTGCTGCTGTATAGGGTTTGTTTAGCCTGCTTTTACTCCATTCGTTTAGATAACAGTGACAGTATATCATGTGTGTGTCTTCTTAACTGTGATTCAGCTGGAAGGTTTTTGTTAATTATGCTGCCTCACATGAAGAACGGCATGTGTTTTCTCAAAAGCATAAAGAACTTTGTTCTCTAAAGTCTTAAAGAAATAATGAGTTTCTTCCTGTAAAGTGAAAAAACAGATGCCATAAAAGTTGAATGCTATTTTGTTCAATTTGTAGTTGAACATAATGTACTTATATCAGTTTTGGATCATTCCAAACAGCTTTTCAATGCAACATTTCAAGATTCTGCCATAGCAAAAAAAAAAAAAAAAAAAAAAAAAAAAAATAGCTGTGGCCATTCCAGAACTTCTATTGTGAAAAATGCTTTCAGAAAGTACTGTTTCCAGTATTGTAAAATCAGTGTGCAATACATCATTTTCTCTTAATTACTGATGGAAGTAGTAATAGCAGTGATGACAAACGGTACCCCTTGATTAATATTCTAGCAAAGAAAAGAGAGTGATAATAATTTTTTTTTTTATATCCATTTTAGACAGCACAAATAATACCGGAGAGGGTATTTTTTAAATGAAAGTGAAGTTATTTTTAAATTCTGTGTGAGGTTTTTTTGTAACTGCATGTTCATGCATAATAGAAAATTTCTGCTAAATGATCCATTTTCAAAACATGCTGAAGTTGCTGGCATCAACTTGAGAACTGAAGTTTCATTTTCATCTGTTCATTTCTTCATGAATGCTTTCCCATCCATTATTTATGAAAAGCATATTAATCAAGTGGAAATTGAGTTTTCTGTGTATCAAGTAAGGTGATTTGGAAGAAGTTGTAGGTTTATGTATTGATATAGCATGGGAAGAAATTGCCAGATTAAAAAATATGAATGGGTAGATTAAATACAAAATATTGCCTGTTGTAATGCTTGCTGTTTGCATATTTATCATCTCGATCAAAATTGCTTTGAGAGTTTTTGAATCTAAATTCACTTCTTAAAAAAAAAAAAGTCTGAATTTAGATTTGAAAACTCTCAGAGCAATTTTGATTGAGAAGATGAATATGCAGGCAAATGAAGAACTGTGTAATAATAAAAAAATTATCAATCAGAATGTAAGTAAGCTACATATAAATCTTTGCATTCGTAATTTTTAAATAATTTCCAAGTTAAAAAATATTTTTATGTATTATTCTTGGTTATCTAATTTTTTTTATTTCCCTCTAGAAATCAAACCCAAAAACTTCATAAAGATGTATGATTTATGGGTTCTGATTTTCTGTACGATTAGTAGTGATTTAAAATATTTGCTTCAATCATATATTATTAGTATATTTAGTGATGTATGACTTGAGGAATAAAAGGAAAATTTCTAATTAAATGTACATGTAATTTACAAGAAATATTTTTAATTATTCAGTTACGCATCTGTAAAATATCAATCTTTCAAATAATAAATTAATAATAGACCTTTAAATTCTGTTTTCGTTCTAAAAATAACAGCAAAAAAATTTTCTAACTCCCTGCAATGAGATGCATTTTCCGATAAAATCTGAACCCAACATCTAGACATTAAACTGTCATGTGATCTGAAATGGAGTATAAAAGGTTAATTGTGTCATAACTCTTTCTCTTTGCTCTTCACCTCTGCTTTTTTTGCTGGGTTGCCTTGCCGCTAGTTTTACTTTTCTAATTTCTTCCATTGCTTAAGTAGTAAGCTGTACAGAATTGGAGCATGCATAGTGCACCCACAGTGATGATGTGCATTATCAAGGAATAAAATTATGTGTGTTCTTTGAGTGTCATCTTGCTGTAAATGCAGTTATAATGCAGAGAACCACTGCCAAAGTGTTGCAACTTACTTTCACCAAGTCAGTCTTACTACAACAGTGGCACAGTCAAAAAATGGTGCATTTGGACTCCACCTTGTGCAAAATGATTCCTGCTTGATTGAGCATTTGGAGTATGGAATTAAATTGCCGTTAAAAAGTGTTGTCTAGCAACATAAAGAAAGAAAAGGAAAAAAAAAAAAATATTGTTTTGCCCTGCCTTTCTGATGATTAACTTTGCAATCTACCTCAAAAGTTGGAAGTAAAAAGAAAATATCTATCCTAATATATTAACAAGTGTTTCAAGGTTTTTATACCGTATCGATCTTCGTGTTAACCAATATTCTTCAACTATTTTATCAGATAAACTAAATGACGTTCTTTTTATCTGTAAAAGAAATGAGAATTATGCAACGGATTTTAAATTTTGCATCTAAATTTAGAGATGCATTCCTGACGTTTAATGGTATTGATTTGGAAAATGGAAAAAATATTGCTTAAAAACGACTCGAGATTTTTAATTTTGAGAGTTTATTTAATGTTATTTTGTAAATGATGTATGCTAAACATTTTTACTTCCTTGTACGAAGTAAAAAGGAAGTATTGTAATCGTGAAAAGTTTCAGGCAGCATATTTCAACAAAAATATCAATTTTGACTGCAATCGAATGCAATTTAACGATGTTTTTGTGTAATATCTGTACGTAAGGACAGAATAAAATACTCTTTTCCTTCAAAAAAATTAAAAAACTGCTTTAAAATTAATTCTGAAGAGAATTCTTCGTGGCGTCTGTACGATACATACGTATCTTGCATAACTCAAAAACGAGTAGCCTCAGAACGTTGAAATTTTGTATGTAAGACTGCTATAACATGTAGATGTGCACCTCCGTAGTTTGGTTGCAATCGGTCTGCGCCAAAAGTGTGTAAATATATTTATATAAATATCCACTCTGTTACTTGGCTCAGTGATCTCAGTTTCTTTACTCTTATATGTTTGTAAATTGTACATTTTTTGCTTTAAAAATGATTGAATTATGTTGTTCTTATCTTCCAGTTAAGCTTTTTATGCCTTTAGTAAATCTCTATGTAATATTTTTAGAATTATCAACAAGTTGTTTAAGTGCCACTAAGCCAAATACTTCTTGATGGCGGCCATTGTTTACATTTAAAACAGCAGGATAGTGGATTTGTTGCCAATCTAGAGAAACTTAGCTTCGCAACAACAAAGATAATGCCTTCATTTATTATTGCAAATTAAATCATGCTTAACCCTTTCTGGAATTTTTTCGAGGAAATAAGTGTTTAAGATTTACTTCATAATTTTTTAATACACATATTTTGAGTTTTTATTTATTTTTGCCTTGTCGTGAAGTGAGAACTGAATTAATTGAATGAGAAATACCGAATCGTCTGTGAAAAACTTTCTTTTTTGATTGGTTTGCTTAATTTCTTTTATACATTGTTCTAGATATAATAGAGTATTTGAATACAACATGTGGCAGTGATTAGATAATTCTTCAAATGATATAAATTTTGTGCATTCTGAGTTTATAAGGCTTGTATGCCAAGCTATATTTTTTAATTACATTTCTTTGCGTAAATCAAGATTAAAGATATTTGCTTAATTCTAGAAAGATGAATGCCATTGTCTTGACTGTTTCAGATTTTACTTTAAAGTTTTGCAGGCTTAGGTTGATAAAGAGACTTTTCCTAACTTTATGTGATGTATATGTAATATTTGAAAGATAATCGCTAACAAAATTATTAGCTTAATCTGCATATAGGTCTTAAAATTCCTAATTTAAATATAAAGACACCTCTTTTTTCATCTACACTCTTTCCTTGCAGTAAACAGCTGTGGAAAAAGTTGCTGAGTTATCATTTCAGATTAATATTAAGGAGCCAAGCTTACAACTAACTGTAAACTCTCTTTTGTCGCTTGCACTTGCATGCTGAGTCATGTTTCTTCACCAAGTTGCATCTTTCTACTATTTACAATGTAAGCTGCATATATAGAAATTGTGAGGTGCTTATGTGTTGAACTCAGCACATCTGTCTCTGTAATATCTTCGAGCTATCTCTAAAGTTGCATCTTATTTGTGTGCAAGCTACATATCTATACAGTATTTCAGCCATAATTAAAAAGTGAATTAGTTTCAATTTCCGCAAAAACATCACACCTCTGAGAATCGACAGGATACCCATGTTTTCATCTTGACCTGATTGGATTTAGATAAAATACTTAGAAAATTCAAATGAATGTGCCAGTTTATCTGCAAGTTCGAAAGTTCTAACATCCAGTGAAGTGTGGAATTCCAGTTTTTAGCTAAATCAGTGTCGAATTATTTTGGCTGTTTCAGTATTTAGAAGAGGACAAAATATTTTTCGTAATTCTGCTGTGGCATTGTAATTGTTCTTAAAAAAATCAGTCATTCATAATGTTTTGAAAGTGAACTCCCGATGTGTTCAAAAGTGCTTTGAAGGTCACTGATCTGCATATTTATTGTGCTTCGTTCTGCTCTCATGCGAATAAATTAGTCAGGTTATTTTTGTTTGGTATAGGATTGAAAATTAGGCTGGAAGGGTGTGCTAGAAAATTATTTGTCCTTCTGCTTTCCCCAACCGCAATTATATTACAAATAATTATCAGTTGGTTCTATTCTGAAATGTTAACATATAATGTTGTTTTATCACAGTATTTTTATTTAATGTAGTGCTCTTTGATAAAAATATAAATTAAAAATTTTATGGTGTCAAAAGATTTAACTTTTCATAATTGTGTTTGAAGTAATATTAAGTAATAAATTTTAAGATATTTAAAATATTTTCAGGAAGATTGAATAATTATTTTTGAATTAATGTTGGAAATTTTAAATTGTTAATAAGAATTTTTAAATAAATGAAATAATTTTGAAAAATTGGCATAGAATATGATAATGCTTTTTAAATATAATAGGGAAAAAAGAAGTAATTTTGAATACTAGTCAAGAAAATGGATGCAAAAATTTCTTTTGAGTATAATATAGAAAACATTTAATATTTTGATAGTGAATATTGCTGTAATGAATATCATTAACTTGAAAATATTTATAATTTTAGAAATTGAATCATATAGTAAAATTGATTATAAGTAATGTAATTAAGAAGGGAAATTAGTTCAGATAAGTAATATGAATGGAAATAATGGTAACTGAATGTTAAAAATTAATGACAACATAGAATACATAAGTAATGTAATTAAGAAGTGAAATTAGTACAAATAAGTAATATGAATGGAAATAATGGGAACTGAATGTTAAAAATTAATGACAACATAGAATACATTAAGATAAAACTTTAGGGGCTCCCACCGTATGAAAAAATACGTAATTTTTTATAAGATAATGCTGCATTTTCATTTAGAAATTTTAATGACATGTATTTTACAGTGTTTTTAATTTGTAGAATATGAATATTTCCAAAGTGAGAAAATGTATCCATCAATCCACAGCTTCTTTACATGTGACGAAGTTGCTTGCAGAAATATTTATTGAAAAACATTTGCCATTTTTTAAATAAAAATCCTGTATTGAAATCATTTTTAAAATGCATAACAACCATCTGTAATAGTATTCTTTGTAAGCATAGCTGAGATTTCTTGATGATCATACAATAATAAGGTTTTTTATGTTTATTTAATTGTTATTATGTAAAGCATTCACTGATATGACTGATAAAATAAGAGATAAATAATTTATTAGCCATACATCCTTATTTTTTTTTTTCTTTTGATTAATTCACTTTGCCTCCAAAATGTAAGCATGTGAATTATTTTTGCATACCAGACAAAATGATATTTTTTATATTAAGGGGGACAGTATCAAGTTGTAGCACCTTCCTACTATGAAAATGGATCTGTAATGATGGGAAATGCGAGGGGCATGGGAACAGCAATGAGGCTAGTCCCTCCTGTTCTTGTCAATCCAGCGGCTGCACCAAATAACAATCCAGGTGATAATATACTTTGCTTAGTGCTAAATAGTTAAAAAATTTTTCCACTGTGAAATGTGAAATTACTGTCTTTACTATTATAACAGTATCATTTCTTGTAATAAATGTCTTAATAATAGTTATAAATTAAGCATAATGTATTTTTCTGTTGAAAAAAACTGATAAAGGTTAGTTGTCATGATATATAGCATTAATGCATTCTGAATAATTGTAGGTACTATGGGTAGTGGTGGCCTACGTTTGCTTGGCTCACAAGGTCAGCAAAATCCTGCGGCAAGCCTCTTTAGTAATGGAACACCTAACAGTAATACTATTTATACTTCACCTGCTAGTTCTAATATGACATTTAGTCACCCAAATTCTGGTCTAGGATTTTCTGGGACAAATGGCAGTCAACTAGGTTATGGATCAGGACTTGGTTTAGGCCCTGCCCAACCCCAGAATACTATGGGCTATGGATCAAATTCTATGGGTCCTATTGGTGCTTCATTAAGTGCTATTGGAACTAGTAAGTTAAACCAAAATGTTGAAAATAATTTGTAGTATATTTATAGTAGTTCAACCTTTTTTTTTTTTTTTTTTTTTTTCTTAAAGGAATAACAGATTTATTGATATCCCATTTGTTCTTATTTATTGACATCTCATTTGAATTAGTAATTGTTTTTAATTGTGCCCTCAGATGGTAAAACAAGAAGAAGCAAACTTGGAAAAATGAATTGATTCAGGATTTTTTATATTTTAATTGAATAGCTAAATGTAAAATGACGTCACATTTATGTTTTCAAAGTTTACTGGAGGTAGAAAGCCTATTCATATATTAGCAAGTCATTAAAAATTATATTTAATAGGGGCACATTTACTACTGTAACTGATTTATGTGCTGTAGCATTTTTATTTATTGTAGTGTGAACTTGATTAAGCCATTATGTGTGTTTCTAAATTTATTTTTAATATGACTTTTTGCACATACTTCAAATCCACCTTGAATTTTTGATGGAAAGTATGCTCTTTTATTTCAAGGATAATTAATAACAACAAAGAAAAAGAGCAGTATATTTATTATGTAATATAAAAAATATGCAAATGACCTTTTTTTGTTTGTTTGTTTGTTTGTTCCTGAAGAGCAGGCACCTTCATTTGATTGCTTCTGAAATCGACAAAATTGGATTCAAAAGCTTTACTGAACTAAACTTGCTGTTTTGCCTAGTTCTATATGTTTATATGAGGTCTGTCTGAAAAGTATACAATCTTTGGATGGAAAATATATGTTACTTACATGATGTGATGGGGACTTTAATCTTTTCCTTCTGCATTTTCTCTTCTCTACTCTAAAAACAGAATCTCAATATCATCTTCAATTTCAGAAGTAACCAGAAGTTGCAAGAAGCTATGCCTGAGAGTAACGAAGTTGGCAAGTGACTGCAATTTCATGTTTTGCCAGGAAAGTCTGTATCAGGTGTGGTGAATAAGATGGAGCATTGTCATTGTACAACTGCCTGTTTTACACTGTTTAGAGGTTTGATCTTTTGTGCCAAACTGCATTACATTATCTGCAGAGAACTTGATAGTACTCTTTTTGTCACTGTTTGTCTATCTGGTGTCTATTCATGGTGCACATTTCCTCAGATAGCAAAGGGTACAGTTAGCATCACCTTCAGTTTGCTTCTCACCTGTCATGCCATCGGACTTGGAGATCCAGGATGCTTCCATTGCTATGACTGTGCTTTAGTTTCCAGGTAATTTCCATCCACCCATGATTCAACTCCTGTTATCATGGTATTCATAAACTCGGGAGATCAATGCGAGTAGTATCCATCAGGTTTTGTGCAATCTCAAGAGAGTTCTTTCTTTTCTGCTGAAAAAAAGCTTGGATGCAAATTCTGCAGCCACTCAGTTCACATTCAAATCATCATGCAAAATTACTTGTGCAGACTATTTACTAATCTCAACTTCTTTGGTAGTCTCTTGTGTGGTCGAACAACAATTTCCCATTGTTAGATTTTCTACCCTCTGAACAATGGCTACATTTTGAGCAGTTTGTGGTTTTCATGGATTCTCATTACTCTCCCCTAGTGTCTGGCCCTACCACTTCTTAACCCTTTCCGAATGAGCATTCCCTACGAACATCTCTTACAGCCAGGTGTCCCATCCATGTGTTACTGGAGATTGAAATCAGGGGACAGGTGATGCGTGCACGCATTTTAAGCTGGAGCCTACTAGCTAGCACCCTGTGTTCCTTACTTTTCAAGTGAACATAGTTTTAGGTTCCTGACCAGTTTGTAAACATTCTGCCTGACTTTGGTATTTTACTCATCAGCTGTTTGCTGACAAATCTGTACCAACATCTATCCAATTATCTGGTAGGCATTTTCCAACTATTTATATGAATGAAAATGCTGAAAAAAAACTGAAGAAGATGCCTAGTGTGTTTACAAACCCTGCTAAAACAAAGAAAAAAGCAACAGTCATATTATGCAATGTAGGACTTTGTGTTTCTCTGTATTTCGAGATTTACTATACTGTCTTCAAATTTTGTTACTTGTAAATAGTCTTTATTGGTTTTTATTAATTTTAAAGTTTATTAATGAATTTATCAATTAAAACTTGAAATAATTTGAATAGCGCTTCTGAAAATTCTTTTATAAGGTCAGCAAATTTTTTAATATATTTTCATGTAAAATAAAGAAAAAAGATTATTAAATGCTAATTTTAATACATATAAGAGCTTAAATCATAATCTAAAATGGTACCAAAAATTACAATGCTAGAATTTGAAACTATTTTGTGTTTGCGATTCCCCTCTCCTCTAAAGTTGGTCTTAGTGATGCAAGGGTTAGTGCCACCACGAAAGGGTTAATTTGTGTTACTCCCATAACATTGTCTACAAACACCTGCTGAATCTTACAAATTGTTTCACTTTGAGAATTACCGAGCTTTTTATAAAATTTTATGTGGTACCATTTAATAAGATGTTCAGTCATTTTACGAGAAATCAAAAATCTGATGAGCACTTATAAGAACAATTCACTTGATGTAGGCAATGACTGATTCACTGAAAAGCCAACAAAAAATTCAAGCGTGTGCACTGAGCTGCCTCCTTCTACTGTGCCCAATGGCGCTGGCCTAGCATCACTACTATGAGTGGGAAAATTCAAGGTCAGATACTAAAAAGACCTCGTATGAGTTAATTATGCTATAGAACTGAATATAGGGATGGAAAAGATTCTGGTATGTGCTAAATAATTGGAAAGGAGGGGGAACTATATAATCAGATGAAAGTGAGTTTGAATTTTCAAGAACAGATATAATTTCATCCTAAATTCTTTTAAAAAGCAAATCCTGTCAAATCAGACATTACAACAATTACTATTTACATTTTAACAGAAAATGGGGACTCAAGTGCAGTTGCTAGAGAGGTTGTTTATAATTATCTTTTTAACAAGGAAAAAGTCTAATTAAAATATTAGAATGTATGTAGTTGATTTTTTTATTTGATATTTTAAAGTAAAATAAGTAGAAAATATTGAAAAACAAGATGTGTTCAAGTATTTGAAATGTATGGGTATGAAAAAATGCACATATTCATTGTTGGTAAAGCTAGTATTAAAAAAGCAAATAAGTTATCTTGTCGTCTTTGTGTAATCTCCAACTAAATTTAGTAATTTTTTTTTTGCTGTAAATATGTACTGTCTTTTAATGTGCATTATGTTTTGTCCATATTTTTATGAATTTTTTTAATCAAAGTTGTAATTTTTCATGGAATTGACTAAATATTGAATCTAAAATACTTAGTAAAACTATAATATTATTAAAAATAAATCCACAGCTTGTAGAAGAAGTTTGTAGGCCAGTGCTAAATTATTGTGCAAATTATTAGTCAATCTTTGCTATATACACAGAAGAAATTATTATCACCATTTTCAGTTGCTTTGGAAAATCAAGTCATGGCTACTGGTTTTCCCCCCCTCTCTTCCCTTGTATTTTATTAATTTAGTCTCCAGATTTTTTTGCTTAAAAGTGTGTCCTGGACTTTGTTCCAAGCCTATAATGATCTGGCTGTGTAAAGCTTTCAAGGTTTTCTCCTTGTGTAATATAAATATATAAGTTTCTTGTAGAGTGTGAATTTCATGTGGAATATCTGCCATGAAGGCATTGTTACCCTGAGGCTGATTTTTGCTTGTTTAACATTGGTTAGTAGATCTTCATCTGCCAAAAATTTTTAAGTCGCCCTTTGTGATGTGTGATTTTTATGACTTTATCTGCCAGATCAGTAGTTATTGGCTATCTTAGTTTAGATAAAAACATTGTGATAATAAATTGTAAGGTAATTTGAGTTAAAATTTATTTTTAAATAAAATTATGAGAGTGGAACATTTAGATGAAATTACATATTGTATATGATGGTGCAATTAGAATTAGTTTTCATCGTTCATTAAACTTATAGTATGTTATGACAAAATAATTATTATTTCTTTGTGTGATGTAATGTTACAAGCTGTTATTGTTTTAATCTATTAAACAGAAATTATGTGTACTCATACAGGGTTTGTATGGTTCTTAAAATTACTTTTAAAATTCATTAGGTTTTTGGTAGTTGTAAAATCTCTAATTTTACTCAACTGACATTTCTTTCTTTCTTCTTGCTCTCTCTCTCTCTCGCTTTTTTTTTTTTTAAATTATTTATATATATATAGCTACCATTTTGAGTCTGAATTAACATTTTGAAGGACAATTTTTTTTCTCAATGCATTGACATAGCGATTGACTTCTTTCCTACTTAATATAAATGGTGGATCCTCAAGTTTTAAGCATGATTCCCTATCTCTGTTGAAGCATACACATTTCAAAATATGTATTTTAATTTTCAGAATTTCTTATTTGGAGATTTGCCCCTTTTGATGATTCTTTTATAAGCATAACAACATTGATAAATATGAAAATAACAGTAATACTTTTAATGGTAAAATTATATACCATTAAAATGAAACATGGTGTTGTTTTATTACCATTAGACTATCAGAAAGGCCTTAAAATCACAAAACTTTATTAAAACCAACTTTATTTAGCATTTAAAAAGGAAAACACATCTCGCAAGAGCCAATATTTAAACATAACACACACACACAAACCGAAGCCAGCATAAACAACGAACAGACAAAAAAAAAAAAAAAAAAAAAAAAAAGGTGAGAAGTAAGTCTCTTATGAATATCCTCACGCTATCATGAGCACATATGCATATTGCAAGATTAATGTTGCCTCTCATTGGAATGAGGATATCTACCATACATATTTCATTTCTCTTGATGTATTTTAAAGTGGCTCTGTTTTCCATCTTGGTGACTTTGGACTATTTTGATTCGGAAAAATAAGCAAGATAACAAATGCTATAAATCCCAGTTTCTGAAACATTTCTTAGAACAAAAATGCTACTGTAATTATTTAAAATTTTATTTCATTTGTCTTTTATATTTTTTCATGATAAGAGTTTTCCATTCTTATTTGTTTGATAAGTCCTTAGTTTTTTTCATCGTGGTCATTAAACATACTGCATATCCACAGGCAGGGAAAAAAAAAATATGCACAAACCCTGTTATATATCCAGATAAAAGATATAAGATGTAAATATGTCTATAAAACCTGTTTACCGTAAAATATAAGATGTAATGATTCACATGTCTTTGAACTCTGTGTAAATGCAAGATGATGTAAGTAAAATACATCTGAATAATGTGGAATGTATCCTGTTAATAAATGTATGAAATGGAGATTAAAGGCAAGATCTTTTCTTTAATTATTAAAATTCTGTAAGCAATTTATAATTTTCTTTTTTTTTAGACCTGTGAGTGAAATTGTCCGATATGTTTTTGTAGATGCTCAGGCAGTATCTTGATTAAAAGTAATTAATACTTTTTATGTTATGAAAAGAGTGATAGAAGAATAGGTAGCCTAAAATGTAAGTTCTGTTGCTATATCATGACAGTATGGAACTGAGTATTTTAAATATACACAATCTTTAGTGTTTCTTACAGGTATTTTTCAAATACTGTGTGCTGTGACATTGAGAAGCTTTTTTAAATTCGTATTGCAGGCATAGGAGGCACAGCTGGATCACCTAGACGTGATTCATTTGATCGGCGTGATGCTACTTCTCTTGGAACAATGGCAGGTACTGGATTCTCTGGTGGATTAGAAAGTCAGCTTTCACGTCAGATGACGCAACAGAAAGGAAACCAGTTTTATGGACCTCTTGGATCTGTAACTGCTTCAGGACCAGGCCCAATTGGCATGATCCCCCCCAGTCAAAGCCTTACCCCTCCACCATCTATAAATGGAGGATCCATTGGAAATCTTAATCTTGGTATGTATACATTTTTCATTTAAAATTCAAAAATCAAATTATGCTTCCATCCTTGTAATAATTATGCATTCCAAAATGGACAATTTATTCTGAAAGCTATAATTTGAAGATTTTATTATATATATATGTGGGATGGCATCGTTCATTATAATCAGATGATGCGACAAGCTGTGAAAATTAATCTTTTACTTTTCCGATGATAGAAGGCAGACGATTCCGCCATTAAGACGATGACGCGATTAAAAGATGTTTGAATATAAAAGATGATTCCTTTTCTTGATCTGTAAATAATCTCATCTATTTCCTTCTACGTATGTAATTACTTTGTAGTTTGTAGCATTTATTCATGTTTCATTAAATATTCAAGTTTTATATAAATCTGACTAGTTTATTAGCCCCTAGACAGCCACCTAGGAAGTAAGTTTACAAACATCATATTCCTAGACAGTAAGTACCGATTCTACAGATTTGGGCACTCAGGCCGCGATGAGCCTAGGAAGAAGCATTATGAATATTACAAAATAAGAGAAGTAAGTTTTGTTTCGATTATTTCCACATTGTTACTTCTAAGAATAGTGTTCTATGATACTGTGAATTAAGATGACTACCTTAAATTCTATTCCTAGAATTTCAAATTCTTTAAAGACTGGGCCTACTAAGTCAATTAAACTTTTACATCAAATTGTGTTTGGAACTTTGGGTGATCGAAAAAATAGAGCTAGATTGCGTAACTTTTGTGGTTTTCCATCTGATTTTAATATTGAAGAAACAAAACAAAAATTACTTAAAACTCTTACTGCAAATGATTTTATTTCTGTGTGTAATTTGTTACATCTTAATTATGATTCAAATCCTGATAAAAACTGTGATTTAATATTGAATAGTCTTTGTGATTTTAAGCTTTTAAAATCCGAAAGTGATGACGATGATGAGTTATCTGAAAACGAAAGTGTTTATGATTCTGATAAAAATGATGATATTAATTCTGTTCGGTCAGAATCACCTCCCATAAATAACTCAGTGGATGAAAACATTATAATGCCTAGCAATATTTCCCTACATTTTCGTGATATCTTAGAAACTGTTTCTGAATTTAATGGCACTGATACATATCCAGTTGAATCCTTCATTGGTGATTTAGAAGAATCTTTTAAATTATTTAAGTTATCGGAATTACAGAAAATTGTGTTTGCTAAAAAATTGCTTACTGGTTCTGCTAAAGTATTTATTAGGTCTTTGAAGGGTATAATATCATGGGACAAATTAAAAGAAAATCTTTTATCTGAATTTGGTTCTAAAATAAACAGTGCACAACTTCATAATTTGTTACAGAAACGACACTTAAAACCTGGTGAATCACTTTCCGAATATTTAATTGCCATGCGTGAAATAGCCAGTCGCGGTTCTGTTGATGATTCATCAATTCTTGATTATGTAATCAATGGGATACCAGATCAGAGTAGTAACAAAATTGTTTTGTATGGGTGTAAAACTATTTCTGAATTCAAAGAGAAATTAAAAATTTATGAGAAAATTCGCGTTCCAGATACGAAAAATAAGGGTTATTCAAGTACTAACACACAAAATAAAACACGCGCTGTACCTAGTAAGATTAAAGAGCCAAGGTGTTATAATTGTGGAAGTTTAGGCCATAAGTCGAATTTTTGTAACAATAAGAGTAAAGGATTTAAGTGTTTTAAATGCAATTTGTTTGGACACAAAGCCGTAGATTGTTCGAAAACATCATCTAAAAATATCCAAGATGCCAAAGCTGTTACTCCAATAACTCAGACTTGTCAGAAAGAAATGCATAAAACTGTTAATTTGGGTAATTTGCAAATTGATGCTTTAATAGGTACTGGTAGTCAAGTAACGCTAATCCGAGAAGATATACATAAGAAGATAGGTTCTCCTGAACTTAAGTCGGCAGAACTACAGTTAACGGAATTTGGCAACAAACGTATAGGAAGTTTTGAAGGTGAATTCGAAACTGATGGTTCTTCATTTAGATCAAATATTTGTGTTATCGCAGAAAACAAGAAATCTGAGAATGATTCTGAAGAGCAAAAAAATGCTTATTGCAATGGAAATGGTTCTGAAGAAGGATTTGAAAAAGTTGTCAATTATGTATGGGTGTAAAACTATTTCTGAATTCAAAGAGAAATTAAAAATTTATGAGAAAATTCGCGATCCAGATACAAAAATAAGGGTATTCAAGTACTAACACACAAAATAAACACGCGCTATACCTAGTAAGATTAAAGAGCCAGGGTTTATAATTGTGGAAGTTTAGGCCATAAGCCGAATTTTCGTGTAACAATAAGAGTAAAGGATTATAAGTGTTTTAAATACAATTTGTTTGGACGCAAAGCCGTAGATTGTTGCCAAAACATCATCTAAAAATATCCAAGATGCCAAAACGGTAACACCAGACCGTTGTTGGCATCTTCCATATTTTTAGAAACTCAGACTTGTCAGAAAGAAATGCATAAAACTGTTAATTTGGGTAATTTGCAAATTGATGCTTTAATAGGTACTGGTAGTCAAGTAAACGCTAATCCGAGAAGATATGCATAAGAAGATAGGTTCTCCTGAACTTAAGTCGGCGAGCAGAACTACAGTTAACGGAATTTGGCAACAAACGTATAGGAAGTTTTGAAGGTGAATTCGAAACTGATGGTTCTTCATTTAGATCAAATATTTGTGTTATCGCAGAAAACAAGAAATCTGAGAATGATTCTGAAGAGCAAAAAAATGCTTATTGCAATGGAAATGGTTCTGAAGAAGGATTTGAAAAAGTTGTCAATTATGTATGGGTGTAAAACTATTTCTGAATTCAAAGAGAAATTAAAAATTTATGAGAAAATTCGCGATCCAGATACGAAAAATAAGGGTTATTCAAGTACTAACACACAAAATAAAACACGCGCTGTACCTAGTAAGATTAAAGAGCCAGGGTTTTATAATTGTGGAAGTTTAGGCCATAAGCCGAATTTTTGTAACAATAAGAGTAAAGGATTTAAGTGTTTTAAATACAATTTGTTTGGACGCAAAGCCGTAGATTGTTTGAAAACATCATCTAAAAATATCCAAGATGCCAAAGTTGTTACTCCAATAACTCAGACTTGTCAGAAAGAAATGCATAAAACTGTTAATTTGGGTAATTTGCAAATTGATGCTTTAATAGGTACTGGTAGTCAAGTAACGCTAATCCGAGAAGATATGCATAAGAAGATAGGTTCTCCTGAACTTAAGTCGGCAGAACTACAGTTAACGGAATTTGGCAACAAACGTATAGGAAGTTTTGAAGGTGAATTCGAAACTGATGGTTCTTCATTTAGATCAAATATTTGTGTTATCGCAGAAAACAAGAAATCTGAGAATGATTCTGAAGAGCAAAAAAATGCTTATTGCAATGGAAATGGTTCTGAAGAAGGATTTGAAAAAGTTGTCAATTATGGTTTTTTACTTCCAAAACCAGAAACTGATCCTGTTAGTATAGTTCCTGTTACAGTACAGAATGTGATCAAACTGGATACCTCATCTAACAATCAAAGCAAGTGGCAATGATTTCCCTGATTTGTGAATTCTGATGACATCCCGAGTGATGCAGATTCTGATATAAGTGAAAATGATGCTATTAAAGATGAATTTGAATTAGTGCAAAAAGGAAAACTCAAGCACAATACAAATTAGCTTTCGAAGCCGACGAGGAGAAACGCCACTGCAGAAGGAGATTCTGAAGAGAAGAATTTCCGCGAAGAAAGAGTCAGTTGCTAAAGGTGATGAATCAAATGCGAATTCCTACTAGAACAATTTCAGTAAAATACCTTGCAATAGAGAAGCAAAAGAAGCCACTGGAGACGAAGAAACTACAGAGACCACCGAAGAAGAAGAAGAAGAGAACATTGAAAAGCAGAAGTCAGTTCAGAAAACCTGATGACAAGCGACGCTGATACACTGAAAGCAAAGACAGAACAAAAGAAATTAAAGAAGGTGCGAAAAAAGAAGCGAAAAAGCAGAGTCAGAAGATCCAGGAAGAAAATTGATAATGAAATGCCGATTTTGATGATTCCTGATTTAGACGTTTTTCCCGAATAGACAAATTTCTTCCGATTTGACTAATGGTTATAAAGACATGAACTAATTTAAGAAGACTGAAGATGATGTCCAAGGATGAAATGTATGAAGGAAGACGGCTTAAAGAAGATGATTTTGAGAAGACGCATTCAGAAGACGTATCCAGACGGTATCTAAGAAGACGTATTCAAACGATGTTTAAGAAGACGTAAATACGAAGAGGAAGAAGATGAATTGTTCCAGACAACATCAAAGGAAGACGTGTTTGTAAATTACATGTATTCAGATAGACTGTTCAAGATGAACGAACTTTGAAAGAGCATTTAAGAAGAGCTAACGCCGTTATTTCTGAGGATGTTAAGATGATAAGGGAAGATGGCTGAAATAAACCATTTAAGATGACTTTTCCCTCAATAGTAACTAACAATCTTTTTTTTTTTTTTTTCTTTTTCTTTTTTTAAATTTTATTTTTTCAGATCCCTAGGATGAGATGGATGGTGCTACGAAAATGCGAGGCCACATTCCAGTCAGGATGGAAGCGAAGCATTTGTGGGATGGCATCGTTCATTATAATCGGATGACGCGACAAGCTGCGAAAATAAATTCTTTTACTTTTCCGATGATAGAAGGCAGACGCTTCCGCCATTAAGACGATGATGCGACTGAAAGATGTTTGCTTGTAAAAGACGGTCGATTCCTTTTCTTCATCTGTAAATAATCTCATCTATTTCCTTCTACGTATGTAATTACTTTGTAATTTGTAGCAACTATTCATGTTTCATTAAATATTCAAGTTTTACATAAATCGGACTAGTTTATTAGCCCCTGGACAGCCACCTAAGAAGTAAGTTTACAAACATCATATTCCTAGACAGTAAGTACCGATTCTTCATATATTATTTATATATAATCCAAAATAGCTAGGTAAATGTTTAGAAAAAGTTTTCTTCTTTTGTATTTTGAGTACTTTTACAAAATTGACTAGTATTATACATGAATGATAATGTGTTAACTCTGATAATACAAGATGTTAGCTTTCATAGGTAGTATGGCAGTTGAGTATGTAGCATTTCGTTTGAAGATAGGTAGTCAGTTTTACAGTTTTTCGCACATAATGAAAGAAATTATATGTGCAGATGAGGTTTATAAAAATAAAGTAATAAGACAGGAAATAAAGCACGGAGGGAAGTGTGAAAGAACATTCAATTGTCATCCCTCAGCCAGTATGAGTTTAAATGATTTAATCACATATTCGTCCATTGAATTCCCCGCCCCCTTTTTTTTTGCTAGTTCATTCTGAAAATGAGCGATATCAATTTCAGCAAAGTGTGCTGTCGTATATTTCTGCAGACTTGAGCACAGTGCAACAGAAATGTCTGTCAAGGGTCCAGGTTTCCAGGTGGGTATTTAAGTCATTTTCAGATCGACTGAAGACAAATCTTGAAGGAGAAGGCCTGCAACTTCAGGAACTCATGAAAATGTTGCCAGAATGTTCTGTCTTGTGCATCCTGATCATTGATTGACAGTCAGAATGATCAGAGATGGGTTGAATTTAAATTAAACCACCATTTATCAGATTTTGTCGACTTATTTGGGAATGAAAATTGTTCTGAAAAACCTTTTACAGGAACAAAAGAAAAATAGAGAAGTGCCGTGATTTTTTGGAGCAGACTGAAAATGATTCTCATTTTCTGGAATGTGTCACTACCGTTAATGAATCTTTTGGGTGTTCAGGTATGACCCAGAATTGAAGTGCCAGAGCCTCGAATAGAACACTTCAATCTCACCAAGATGAAAAAAAGTGCAAGATTGAGAAAGTTGAAAATTTGAAGCATGCGGATTTACTTTTTCGGTGGCCAGAAAGTCATTCACAAAGAATTTGTGCCTCTAAAGTAAATGGTAAGCCAGTACGTTTACCAAGAAAGTTGTCATGCAAATGACCATCAGGGCGATGTGCCATGTTACACTCTAATTTTAGTTAATGTGTATTTTCACAAGTAGAAACATCCTTGTGGCTACTCGGCCTCCTTTTCTCTTGGCATATGAGTTCATGTGACTTATTTCTATTACCAGACTGAGCACTTACTTCAAAAGATGTCATCTCAGGATACTAGAAAACTTAAAAATGGCCATAACTGATTACTTGAAGGCAATTGTAGTACAGTCAAAAGTCGCTAATCTGGACTCGTCGGGACTTTGGCCATTCCGGATTATAGATCATCAGTTTAAATCTCGTAAGATGGCAAGCAGAAATTCTAAAATTAAAAATGTGAAACCGTAATTTATGAAATAAAGAACAATTATGATCTAAAGGGTATCAAAATTTACAAAAAAAAAAAAAAAAAAAAAAAAAAAGCTTAATATTTATTTGTTTGCTTTATTAAACATTTCTTTCAATGTAAGTTGTTTAATTTGCTATGTTTTATGTGATAATACTTTCTCTTTAATTCTATAAACAGACATAATTTCTTGTTCAGTTACAAAGTTCCGCTGTTCAAGTCTCGTAATTGCTGTGCCGAGAATACCGACTAACTTGTCAATCGAAATTTTTTCGTTTTCACTAACCTCTCTGTCACATTCTTCATGTCATTATCCATTTTTTGCAGCGATTCCACTTTTTGTTTGATGGACATCGAAACATACTTTTGTTTTGTAGGTCCTTTGGGAGCTCCAGCATCAGAAATTCTATTTGACAGAATCGAAAGTTCAAGTTTACTTTTATAAAATTGCTGTTACAGTCTGCAAAAATAATAAGCCGTATGCAATTTGAAGATTAAGGAACAACGCAATCAACATTAACTCAAATAGATAATTAGATAATTTTAGCTTATACCGTCCGTTATACATAAAACTCGCATGCGAAAACTTATTCTGCGCACACGCATATGCGCTGTTGTAAAGGTCTTGCGCACACACGTAAACACCTATGGGCATGTGTCAATGCGGCGCATGCGCAGAAAGTTTTTAGCTTTGAGGTTCGGATTATAGATCTTTCCAGATTATGGGTGTCTGAATTAACGACTTTTGACTGTATTAGATTGCCACAGTTTCAGCATTGTCATGAAGAGCAAATTCATCTCCAACACACTGTGGGTTGTCAAGGTGTTAACATTGAATGAGGCAATGTGAATAATTTAATAAAAAATTAAAAACTCATTACTTTATTTACTCATCTCGCATACCTTTAAAAAGAGAAAACATTCATATTTGATTCTTTATCTGTTCATAACATAAAATGCTTAGATTTATCATTAATTAGCTCTATTTTCTTTCTTCACTTAGCATTTTTACTTGGTAATTTGATGTTTATATTAATTATTTTTCATCAATATGTATGCAGCAGACAAAACCCTTTTTATATTTTATGGGGAGAAAACCAACATTAAAATACATCTTTAATCTCTGATTTATTGATTTATCTTCTCAACTGAAGGCTGAAAGTTTTATAATCCAGTTGAAAAATAATCAGTATTCAAAAGTTAAATGCTGCAGTATGTCTGATTTCTTTTATTAATAATGTATATAATTGCTTTTAAAATAAATTTTGTTTAAAATTCTAGGAATATTAAATTAGCTTTCATTAATATTTGGGGCTTTATATTTTTAATACAGTCAGAAGTCGTTAATCCGGACTCGTCGGGACTTCGGCGATTCCAGATTATAGATCATTAGTTTAAATCTGGTAAGATGGCATGCAGAAATTATAAAAGTTAAAAATATGAAACCGTAATTTATGAAATAAAGAGCAATTATGATCTAAAGGGTATCAAAATTTACAAAAAAAAAAGCTTAATATTTATTTGTTTACTTTATTAAACATTTCTTTCAATGTAAGTTGTTTAAGTTGCTTCATTTTTTATGTGATAATACATTCTCTTTAATTCTATAAACAGACATAATTTCTTCTTCAGTTACAGAGTTCCACTGTTCAAGTCCTATAATTGCTGTGTCGACTAATTTGTCAATCAATTTTTTTGTTTTCAATAACCTCTGTCACTTTCTTCGCTATCGGAAGCGAATTATAATGACGAGGAATTTGATTTAAATCATATCAAAGACAGAGTAATAAGCCGTAATAAGCCAAATAAAATAAAAACATCTGTCCTGAAGATAAGGATAGTGCTGAGAGATCAACTTCCAATTCATTGCACGCTGCGGCGTTAAAGATAAACAAACGTTAAAGTTTAGATAAACAAAAAGATATGCCTTTATCCATTTTTTGCAGCAATTCCACTTTTTGTTTAATGGACTTCGAAACATACTTTCGCTTTGTAAATCCTTTACATATTAGTAAGTATATATCAGAAATTCTATTTGACATAATCGAAAGTTCAAGCTTACTTTTATAAAATTACTCTTACAGTCTGCAAAAAATAATAAGCCGAATCCAATTCGAAGATTAAGGAACAACGCAATCTGCAACATTAACTGAATTAGATAATTTTAGCTTAGCTTATACCGTCCGTTATACATTAAACGCGCATTCGTAAACGTATTATGCGCACACGCATATTCGCAGCCGTAAAAGTCTACGTGACGCATGCGCAGAAAGTTTGTAGCTTTGAGGTCCGGATTATAGATCATTCCAAATTAACGACTTTTGACTATACCATAAAATATTTTTTCTACTCTCATTTAATTGCAAAGTTTCTTTCTTCTTCTTTTTTTTTTTTTTAAGGTACTTTAGGTGGAAGAATACTGTCGGCAGCACCTGGAGCAGAAGCTAAATATATGATTAGGAATGGGCCATTGGGAAATAATGTCTTTGGCTCTTCTAGTACATTATTTCCAAACAGGACCTTACAACGGAGGTTAGTATTTCTTTTTGGACGTTATTTAAACTGTTTGTTATGTTGGATAAATGCTACCTAAAGTGATCGGCATGAAAATTATCAAACTAAACTTCGTATTCTTTGAATGAACATGCCTTTTTTTACTTTCTTGTAAGAAGTAAAGAAAGTATTGTAATCATGAAAACTTTTGGGTATCATATTTCAACGAACATTTTTACCACAACTGAATGCAATTTAACAATGTTTTTGCGTGCCATCTGAAAATAAGGACAGAATAAAGGACTTTTATGTAGGACTGCTGTAACATAACATATAGTTGTGCATCTCCTAATTTGATTGCTATCAGTCACATTAAAAGTATATAAATATATATATATATATATTGGGTTTTATAAAAAAAAAGTCTCAGTGATGTTTTTTTCCACTAGGTGGTAGTGTTGCCTGCATATCCGGCAACGCTCACTCGATTGTTTCAAACGAGCATGTGCTTAAAAGAAAGGGGACATTCAGCTTCCAATGTTTGTGAAGATAGTTTTCTAACTCGTTGCTTGTATAAAAAGTTATATTGATTTGAAAATGAGTGAAATATCTGAAGAAATATTCTATGAGATGCTTTTTTACTATAAAAAAAGGGGAATATGCTGCTAAAACACTTGAAAAAATTAATCGTATAGGGAATGCGACAATCCCTTTCCAATAAAGAGCATATTTTGAATGTGCATGTGTATAGCTATTGAAACTGCATTTGCTGTTACAAACTTTAATTAAAACATGAATTAGAATGTATAAATATTTTGTTAAGTGGCATATGTTTAAATTTTTTTGTTTTAATGTTTTTAATAATCTTATCAATCTGTATTGTGTTTTAACAAATTGTAGAAAAATCTGTGTTATATGCATAAAAATATTTATTATAAAAAATTAAATCCAGTGCTTAGAGAAATAAAGTTTCAAAATCTTTTCCCCCCTTCTTCCAGCTCCAGCTTAGAGAAACCAACTGGACGTAGTCGATTGCTAGAAGATTTTAGAAATAATCGTTATCCTAATTTACAGTTGAGGGATTTAGCAAATCACATAGTGGAGTTTTCTCAAGATCAGCATGGATCAAGGTACTGATAAAATTCATTTGTAGAAATTTTTATCTTTTAAAATTACTGTTATTTTTATTAACATGTTTAAAATTATTTGTGCAAAATACCTCGCTTCCATCTTTGCCTTTTGCTGATGTTAATACGTTGTATTTTTGCTTATTTATTATAGCTATTTAGAATGGCACAACTCAAAATGTAAATTGTTTTGATCAGCATATATTGAATATTTCATAATGCTTTCAAACATCAAATCTGCAAATATTTGGTAAATACACTTGAAAATTAAATTATGAGTATAGAATTTGGAATCTTCAAAATCATTAGAAATTATGTAGAAATCATTTTTAAAAAATTTCTCACCAATTAATTTATATGCAAATATGTGGTCCTAAGGCTGTAGATTCTTATTATTTTCAGTTGGATTTGAGTGACGCATGCCTTAATTTCAGTATTGTTGTTGTGTTTATTTCTTAGTTATAATTAGCATTTCCAGTTTAGTATTATGTAATTGAAAATTGTTATATCTTGGATGTGTTCATTTACTTTTCTTTTGACAGATTTATCCAACAAAAGCTTGAGAGAGCGACTCCTGTAGAAAAGCAGCTGGTTTTTAATGAGATTTTAGGAGCTGCTTACAGTTTAATGACTGACGTATTTGGAAATTATGTTATTCAAAAATTCTTTGAATTTGGAACTTCAGAGCAAAAACAGGCTTTAGCACAAAAAGTGAAAGGACATGTTTTACCACTCGCACTCCAAATGTATGGCTGCCGTGTTATTCAGAAAGCCTTAGAATCTATACCAGCTGAACAGCAGGTGATTGTATTCTTGTTTTTTCATGTGGAAAAAGCAATATTTATTTCTTAATGATTTAGTTTTTATTTTGAAATTATCTCCCCCTCCCTTTCTTCTTGTAAAGAAGAATGAGACCATAGTAAAAGTAAAGCTGCAAGTGTGCTCTGTTTTTCACCTTTAGTCACATTTTTGTTGTTATTAACTTGTCATATATGTCACTTATTATAAAAAAGTCAGTTTCCTGATCAAATTATTTATAATTCGTAGGTATTCAAACTGTCAAAATAAAACTGTATAAATCAAAAAAAGAAAAATAAATAAATAAATAAGGAATCAGATATTAATATAGGTAAGCATAGCTGCCAACTTTCCCGTTTTTATAATCCCATCTCTTGATCTGCTATATTATCAGTTTTTTATTTTTTAGTCTTCGCTACCCAGGAATTCTTGAATTAGTGAAACTTTAAATGTACAAATTTTTTCTCTTTCCCTAGTCATTTTCAGCATAACTTCTGAAATTTGATTTGATCTGAATTGTCTTAATCTACTGTAGGCATTTGTAGAATTCTTATAAAGATTCAAACAGTGATAAATCATTTAATATTTGTATGTAATTTTGTTTTGCATCAGTATATAGTAAGAGTGTGAAGTTAATATTTCTGATATATATGAAATAATTAATATTTCTACACAACAGTAGAAATATTAATTATTAATTTTATTGTCATCATGTTTAAAAGTATGTTGATAACTTAATTTCCCTTCCTTAGGATTTTCTCAGTATAAAAGTGTGAGTAAATTACAAAGCCTTAGAACACAAAAATTTCTTTATTTAGTTAAATATAATTATATGTTACATGAAAAATCATATAAATATTTAATAACATGAATCATGCATTATAAAATGAGTTTAAATAAAATTATTGGAATTCATTTGAAAGGTACTGTCCTGCAGTAGAAACTCTGGGTTTTTCTTGTTGAAAGGTTGGCAGCTATGATGTTGCTACAGTTGCATGTCTCTAAATGTAAAAATATATATTTTGACATGTAATACCACGAAAGGAGGTATAATATTTGCCTTAGTAGTGCACATACAAACTTTTCATGGGGAAATCTTTAGATAAAACACATATGCATGTCATGCACACATGGTTTTGTAAAATATATCTGCAAGAAAAATAATCCAAGTTTATTATTTTTTTATTCTTTGATATGTACGAATTAATATTTTCTTTAATTTTTAATTTTTCATCATTTAATTTAATTTTAATTTTTTGTAAGTAGTTCATTTCTGTGACTATATACTTCAAAACATTAAATAATTGCCTTGTGTATGCTCTTCAGTTTACAAAAGATAAATTTTCCTTCTCGAAAAAGTGTCTATTCGTAGTGGCTCTACATTTTTGCTCTTCATAAATCATGTATTTTCACTTTCAGTTAACCTAAGTTTGTTCTTCCCTTTTTTGTTTGTATTTCTTATGCTTTGGTTACTAACGTGCATAATTTAAAGAAGTTAGACTTTCTAATATTTATATGATGCTAGTATGAGTGTGTTCCTTGTTTCTACTGATTAAATTTTCACTCTGTAAACAAATTGTTAAAAATATAAATCTGAAATGTATCAGATTTTAAATTACGTTCAAAGGGGCATTTTTTTAAATATTTTGTGTGCTACCCTTTTTTATTAAATATCATGTTCTTCACATTTAAACCATAAAATTTAGTTCAAGAGCAATATTGCATAGTAGTTTTAAATTGAGCATATCTGTAGAATTTCCGATACACAGTCTCACACGCTGGACATAAAAATGCCCCCCCCCCCTGTACAACATTGCTATTGCTCGCTTTCAAATCCTTGAGTTTGTTAATCAAAAATTCGTTAAAGTTTTACAAAATATGAAATCAATAACAAAAAATTCCAAATTTCAAATTTGGGCTTCCACATGCCCATATTCGCAGTAGGATTACGTCATTCGAAATTCAGTTACTCTAGGTACCGCTGTTTTATCACAGCGTGAACATTTATGCAGATTTTTCATTATTTAATTTCTTCAAATATAATGCAGTACTCTAACATTTGGTGTAAACAGCTTTAAAAATGAAGCGGATATTTATAGTGAACTAACACAAAATCACAAAACAAAAGCAATAGTCCTTCAGGGACAAAGCCCCTTTGTACTAAAAAGAAAGAAAGAACCATAATATGAAATATGGTTCCCCACATTGCTTCCAATTTTATGTGCTGGCAGTAATCCCTACCAATAGCAGAAATATATTTGATTTAGACCTATGTTTTTATTGCTCATGCAGTGCTTTGATGAAAAGCAATTTCGTAATGTTGTTGATACTACTGGTTTTTCATTGCTCTTTCTTCTCTTGGTAGTTAAGAGGAACACTATTTATGTGAACGTCTGGGCTTCATCTTGATATATATTTACTGTGCGATAGAGGAAACTCTTGGGCAGTTATCGTTAATATAGAGGTGACACAACATCCATAAAAAATTTATTATGTAATCCAATGAAGTAAATTTCTCTCATTCTAGATCCCTTTTTTTATATGGCAGGTGAAAAGTAGTGTAGTGATATCAAATGGTCCACTTAATAAATTAGTTTAAAGAGCATAAAATCCAATGTTAAAAGTATTCAAACAAGAATCTGCAAGTTTCAGGCATGAAAGTTTTCCGCGTTTTCATGGAATTCCGCTTTTTTGAACGTCACCCGGGCTGTTTCTGAGATTGATGTAGAACTGTTCAGAAATCGCGACCAGCAAATGTGTGTGTGGGGGGGGGTAAAGGGAGGACATGCTCTCTCTCTTCCTATTTTCTTCGTAAAAAAAACTTTACATCATGCCATTGAATAATATTACACCGGGTTAGCGATCAAACGTGGACACCCCTTGTTGCGAACTTTTCGAGTTTGCCTGAGCCAAGATCGCGAAATACGTTGTTTCACATCAAGGCGAGGTAGGTGGGGCTTATGTGGAAAGGCGGAACTAGATGTGCGAGAGCTGACTTCAATAATTTCAACGATCGGTGCTGGCGCCATTGATCGGACATACGGATAACCACTTGCATTCTCCAGTACACAAAACTCTATGTAAAAATTTAAGAAATGCTCATAAACTGTACAAAGAGCTAGAGAATAGATAAGAAAAAGTGAAAATCAAAAAAAAAAAAAAAAAAAAAAAAAAAAAAAAAAAAAAAAAAAACAAAAAACAATTAGACATTGCAGAAAATAAAGTATCAATGGATTGTGTAAAAGCTGCTGAAAAGAAATTGAGACTAGCTCGCAAACGAAAATTAGAAAAGTTGGCTGCAAAAGTAGCAAAAAAGAAAAGGCTTTTTCCCTAAAAGTTTTTAATCAGGGTTGAGTGAGACTGAGACAAAATAGTTATTTTTTGTATTCCTCCTTTAACTATATGTTATTTTGTAACTATATTATCTCATATGACTACTTTTTTTCTGGTGTTATATAAAGTACTGTTTATTTAGCTAAAAGTGAAGGTTGTATTTGAAAGCTATAGTAACAGTTTATGTCTAAAACTTGTCATTGCCTGAAAATGGGCAGTAATAAAATAAATATGTATATTAGTGTGTTGTAATGTTGTGTACAGTATTCATGTACCAACTGTTAAATTAAGTTACATAAAGAGCAGGGGTGTAGCTAGAGGGGGCAAGGGGGGGACATCTGTTCCCGGGCGCAGAATCCAAGGGATGCCAAATTGATGTTACGACGTTTTAGAATTAAATGTTTTCCATCCTTGGCAAGCAGTAGGGGGCACGAAATCTTCAATTGCCCCTGGGCGCTGAAAACCCAAGCTACGACTCTGATAAAAAGCATCTTAAAGAAGGTTAATTCATTACAATCTGTTGATTTTTTTTTTTTAACAAGTGGAAGATAAAATTAATAGCAAAATAGTAAATACAAGTATTATTTTAGTTTAATTATATGTATATGTTTAATACTTTTTATATTAAAAGGTTGATATTTTATTAAAATGTTTTTTTTTTTTTTTTTTTTTTTTTTTTAAGGTCACGCGTTCGCAATTAGTTTTTGTGTCCGCGTGTTGTTCAGCTTTTTTTTGTCAACTTGCACTTTCATGCCTGAAGTTTACACTTGAATGCAGTTTTATTTATTTACATGTTATTTAGTGGAAAATTATTGGTGCATTAAAACATAAAACCAATGCCACTGTTCATTTTGCCAGAAATGCTTGAAACAGATTAGTTATCAGTATTGTTGATGTAATTAAAATAAGTTTCTCAACAAGGTTGTATCCATTTTTAGTTTTTTCTGTATAAGGCTTGGTTGGAAAAGACTAAAGCAGACTGCTATGAAGAGCATAGCAAACAAGTGCTTGCAACAGATTAGTTATCATTGCGGCAAAGTTATATTCAATTTTAATTTCTTTCATACTGTTTTTGATTATATTCAGGATTGTTTTTGATTAGCTAGCAGAAGGAATGCTGCCCGAGATCTCATGAAAAGTCGTGAATGGTTTTCTGTTAGTTAAAGCAAGCTAAACCTTTGAATTCCTGCTTTTCTTACACATGAGAAATGCAGTAACAATGTATAGTGTATGTGATGTGTGTAATTTATTTAATGTTGTTAATTATTTATTTAATGTTGTTAATGCCTAACTACTTCAAATTTGTTAATTTGGTGTTATAATAAGTTACTTGTACCATGTATTGTGCTGTGTAATTTTTGATATTATCCTATCCACATAATTATAGTAGATTTTGAATATTATAATGATGAATATAAGGACAAAGTTGAGCCACAAAATGTAATTTTGCCATTTTTAGATACACGATTACGTGCATCCATATTTTAACAAAACAAAATTTTTACTTTTCAGAAGGAAATTGTTAAGGAGCTAGATGGACATGTTTTGAAATGTGTTAAGGACCAGAATGGCAATCATGTTGTTCAGAAATGTATAGAATGTGTTGACCCTATTGCCCTACAATTTATTATAAATGCATTTCAAGGACAGGTAAGAAACTGTTTGTTATAATATTAAAAAACTATGTTGTTAATGCCACTGTGCATATAATGAAGTTATTGTTTATTTCAATATGTTAATTTGCCCAAGTGCTTACATGGAGAACAAGGGAACTCTCATATTTATATTACTAAGGTGACCATACGTCCTGAATTTCCCAAGACAGTCCCAATTTTTTACAACTAATTTTTTGGTCCTGAATTGTCCAAAAAACAGTGGTGTGAGAACTTAAAAGTTTAAATTCATATATTCATTTAAGTAGTATAGATTGCAAACTGAGAATAACAGTGTGAGTTAAGAGATGCATGCTATACTGGCCACATAAACAGAGAATTCCTCATGTAGCGTTTACCTTAGAAAAATTGTAGTGGAGAAATTCTGTTTCTTATTCTTATACTTCTCTCCCCAGTCACTGTACATACATAGAATTTTTGTTCCAAGCTCACTGTTAAGACTTAGACAACCCTGCAGTTTTAAATGGTATATTAATTTGATAGTGATTTAAATTTCTAATATATACATATATTTTTTAATTATCAGTGGTTCCTTACATACATTTGAATTTATCATCCCCTTACACATTACATGGCATCTAAAGATAATGCTTTTGTCATTTGCTGAAATTTCATTGTCGATATATACATTTGAAATCATCTTTTGTCACTTAGATCCTAAAATTTTTATTCCATGATCATGTTGATTTTGCAAAAGAGCTAAACAAATTTTAAAAACCTCATGAAACGATGACATTTCTCGTTTGGTAATGACTTATATTTTTTAATTATCAACGATGCATTACGTAGGTTGCTACAGTTGTGTTTTACTGCCTTTTAATTTATTTTTATTATTGATTTTTTAGTTCAAAAATAGAAATTGCATATTTAATGAAGACCTCCAGAAGGAGTACCTGTTTATTGAAAAAATCTATAACCGATTCTGATGTACGGTGCAATATGTGTTCTACCGATTTTTCAATAAGCTGTGGTGGACATACAGATATCAAATTTTGTATAAATAGTAATAAAAATATGATTTCAAACTCTGGTGCTGCATCTAGCTCGTTGTTAAAGAATTTCATTAAACAGGAGAAAATGGGTTATAAGAAAGAATTAGCTGCTGTGCTTTTGCATACCATACTGTTTGCAACAACCATAGGTTTAGGTCTATGAATTTTGTGTCTAAGCTGCTTCAAGTGGCATTTGAGCCTAAATTCAAATGTGCGTAAACCAGTGCCAAAGCAACAATACTAAATGTTCTTTATGCTTCACACTTAAAGAACTTTGCTAAGTGATTTGGAAGAAAATTCCTTTGTTTCAGTTTTAACTGATGCATCTAGTTCAAAGTAAGTAAAACTTTTTCTAATACTTGTTTGATTTATAAATTAGAGTTACGGAGTTTCATAGACGTGGAGAAAATGTTTTTGTTAAACTGAAACGAAACGTTAACCATGGTTTAATTAGAGTTGGATGTGCAGCACATGTTATCCATAATATTATTAGAACAAAAAAAAAAAAAAAAAAAAAAAAAAAATGTGAAAGGGTTCAAATTTTAATGGTTGCACTAAATCTTAAAATTTAGAATGGCTATGGTTTATGAATATAGAGATGGCCCAGGTGGAAAAAGCAAATTTTTTAATTGCTTATTTGATGAATACATATTTAGGCTGATATGAGAATGTTGTTAAGGTGCTACTTTGCTAGACGTTTGCACGGATTTTGGCAATTTTTTGGGGGGAGGGCGAGCGATAGTACTTATGGTAAACCCATTGCTGGAGAAGTTATTTATGGTAATCGATACGTTGTTGTCATTTTATTTTAAAAATAATGCATTTTATTATGCATAAATTCCATGTTTTAAATATTATTTATGGCTTCTAAATATTAAAAATTAATTTAATTTTGTATTTTTATTTCAAATAAAAATTTTATTGTTTATGATATTTTGTATAATTTATGTTGTGGATGATGTAATCAATGACGTCACTTTGCTTTAAAAGTAAATTGGTTTTAATATCTATAAATTTAATCTAATATTTTGTTAATGTTGCGTTTTTTAAAAAAAAAAGATTTTATTATATATGATTATTTAAAAATTTTAATTCTAGGCGTGATGTAATCAGCTTCATGATTGGTTACAGAATATTTGTGCATTACTGCGCCATTTTAAAATTTTATTATTCATCTCTTGGAATTCCTTAGATTTCATAGGAAACGTATTGGTCCCTTTCAAAGATTAATGTTATTATTGGTAAGTACCAAGAGTTATTGGTATCGGAATAAAAAAATTGCCCTTTGAGACCTTATTTTGGCCAACCTGGCTCTAATCATAGGTTTATTTATAAATTGCTACAAGGGTCAGAGGAAATTTATTTTAAATTTTTAGGTGAAACCTCGCTAATTGCTTCTTCAATGAAATGCAAGAAATGTGAATCCCAGATGTGAAGATCGTTAGAAGAGCCGATTCTGAGGACGGCCGTATGTGCGGTTATTTCTTCCACCGTGAAAAACGGTGGAAGAAATAACCACTGTAATGGTAAAAAAAAGTATTGGACATTCCTCCCTTTTTTACCAGCAATAAACTAATTGCTGTCAATAATTTAGCCTTACTTTAGTATTTTATACTCGTAGTTAATGTATTTATTTGCATTTGCCTGCCATCTTAAAAAACGTTTTCAACAAAAAATTAATCCATTATTTTTAACGATATTTATTTTTTTAAAGTTTCGAATACTTCAGTATGCGTAAAATAACGTAAAAACAGCGTTCTTCAAGATGGCTGATGATTATAAAAACCGCGCCAACAACTATGCCAAAGTAAATCACCAAAAATCCGTGCAACCATCTACCGAAGTAGCACCGTTATTAATAAGTCACTATCTTCACTTTTAATCGATTCAGTAAAGTAAATAGCTTTGTGTTTTAGTTTTTAATTTTAAGGTAATATATTGTTTGAGTGATTTTAATATCCCCCCTGCTGAAATAAAACCATCTTCACTTGAAAGGTCATCAGTGTTACAGTGTGGCTAAGTTCTGTCATGCATGTCATGATTGAGCCCAGTTGCGGCTTATCGGCACTGACTCCAAATTAATCTTTATTTTTACAACTCCATTTCATCAAGTAATGGCAATCCATGTTTTAAATCAAAAACAATCTTTATTTCATTTTTAGCAAATGTGAACAACTCTTTAGACAAATATCATTAATAATCTTTTTGTTGCCATTCCAAGAACAACAAAAAACAAATAAAACAATATTAATCAGTATTTAAAGTTTCTGTATAAGTTCAAGCTACAACAGTACTCCCTTCCCAGTAACTAAGTTATGGTAGAGCATAATATTACCTTTAAAACACACTATTTACCAAAAAAAAAAAAAAAAAAAAAAAAAAAATTGATTCATATAAATGCCAATCCCAAAATCGCACATGGGATTTTATTCTCCGCCCTGCACATGATTGTTTTGCAGGAAACTTGTTCATTTTGGGATATAAGTCTGTTGGAGGTTTGACTGGTTGTCTCATTGACGTTGGTTGCTTCGTAGTAATGTTAGGTGTTTGCAAGAAATATGCAGGCTTAATCTATCAATAGACACTGGAACATCTTTGTGATTAATTTTTACTGTAAAATATTTTTCCCCCCTCAACCACTTAAAAAGGACCATTGTAAGGTGGTTCTAATTGCTTTTTAACTGTGTCTTTGCGAATAAACACATGTGATGTTGTTTTTAAGTTTTTATTTTAGGGACGAATATTGTTTGGACATATTTATCAGATACTGTTCTTGGTCCAATTTTTTCCATAGTTTCTTTTAGCTGCTTGACAAAAATATCAGGTGTTGTAGGAGTTGTGCTATCGTGGAAAAATTCTCCAGGTAATCGTATATTTTGTCCATAAACCATTTGAGCAATGGTGTATGCAGAGTCTTTCTGCACAGCTGTATGTAAGCCAAGTAGTACACTTGGAAGTGTTTCAGTCCAGGCCAGGCTATTGTGTGCCATAAGTGTGGCCTTGAGAGATCTATGGAGGCGTTCTACCTTCCCATTTGCTTGGGGGTGGTAAGCCGTTGTATGTTGTAATTTTATTTCACACATTTTTTTATAGGTTGTTGAACAACTCTGAACTAAACTGCAGTTTACGATCTGTGACTAGGCGACATGGCATCCCAAATCTTGAAATCCAATTATAATAAAATGCTTTAGCAACTGTGTCTACTGAAATGTTGTTAGTGGAATCACTTCCATCCAGTTAGAGTACCGGTCAGTGCAAGTGAGACAGTAAATATTCCCATTTGATGGTGGTAGGGGTCCAATAAGATCAATATGCACATCACCATCAAAATCTTTCTGAAAGCAGTTGAAAAATCACCGAAACTTGATTTTGTGTGTCGATTAATTTTACTTCTTTGGCAAGCCATGCAAGATCAAGTCTAAAGCTGTACATCTTTACGGATACTTGGCCAAATAAATTTAGACGATAAGAGTTTTACAGATGACTTAATGCCAGGATGGGCTACATTATGCATTTGATAAAATATTTTCTTGCAATAACTGTCTGGAGTATATGGTCTGATATTATTCGTTGAAGTTTCACACCACAAGATTTTCCAGAAGGTAGCGGATACTGCTTGAAGTTCAGGGAAATTGCTGATGTCTTCAAATTTTGCAATTCTTTATCCATAATTTGTTCATCTGCAATTTTGTCATAGTCGATCAAGGAAATTTTTTCAATTCTAGTTAAATTATCTGCAACAGTGTTGTCTCAACCTTCTATGTGCTGTATATCAGTTGAAAATTGAGAGATGTATTGTAAATGTCTAAGTTGACGAGGTGATGCTTTTTCTGGCTTTTGTTTAAATGAAAAGATTATGGGTTTATGGTCTGTGAGTATTGTAAATGTTCTTCCTTCCAGTAAAAATTTAAAGTGTTTGATGGAGAGGTAAATTCCTAGTAACTCTCTATCGTAAGTACTGTAATGCTTTTGTGCCTCATTTAGTTTTTTGTAATAAAATGCAACAGGTTTCTTCTTCGGCAATGGGCGCTTGATAGTAGGCTTTAAATAAATCTATTTTGGAATAAATATTCGTATCTTTTAAAATATAATGGAAGTCCTCTTCTATCCTAGGAATAGGATATGTATCAAGAACTGTTCTATCATTTAACTGTCTATAATCTCCACATGGGCGAAGAGTACCATCATTTTTTAGCACCACATGCAGAGGACTTGCCCATTGAGAAAACTTGAGGGTCTTATGTTATTATCCACCATGAATTGGAACTCTTGCTTAACTACTGCAAGCTTTCGAGGATCCAACTAACTGTCTTGCTTTAGAATGCATAGGTTGACCATGTGTTATGATATGATGTGGAACATTATGTTTTAAACCTCATAAGAATAAATTTGGTTTGCATAAATCTGGGTATTGTTTTAGAAGAGTATTAAATTTTGTTGAATGGGTTACTGTAACGATATCACTATTTTCACTGATGGAAGTAACTTCACCACTTACTTTTAGTTGAGTTACTCCATCAATCAGTTTCTTGCCATGTAAATCAATTATTAATTTAAATTTGTTAAGGAAATCAGCTCCTAAAATTCCTTTATTAATTTTGGCTACTATAAATGGAAATTGGAATTCACACCTAAGTCCTAAATCAAGTGTTAACATTTTTATACCATATTTTTCGATTTTGGTACCATTCACTGCATACAACTTGAAATCCACGGATTGTTTGTCTTGTGCTAATGCAGGTAAAATGCTAAATCTGCACAGTTATCCACTAAGAAATGCACTTTCAATTTTTTATCTCTGATAAATAGGCGACATTCTTTAGCATTATCGGCAGTAGAGCTTGCCGCCTTTACTACTGCACATTGTCGTTTCCCTGATTGGATGATCTATCAGATGACCAACTGCACAGCTGAGTACATTTATCCTGATAACATTTGTTACCAAAACGGATAGGATTAAATCTTTTTCTAGAAGTACTGCGAGATCGTCTGTGGGACGGAGAGCTGTTCCTAAATCTTGGTCTTGATATATGATGAACAGTCATTTTGGCAATTCGCTGTTCAAGGAATTGGTTTCATTAACAGTTCTGTATTTGAGCAATTACCAGCTGTTGATACACCACAAATCTGATTAGAAAGTGGCATATCTGAAACTTTGTCAGCCATGATAAAGTTTCGTCACTAACAAGTATTTTATTATGCATAGAATCCGGCAATTTCTCTAACCATAACGTTTTAATTAAATTTTTGGACACATCCGATGTTACAACAGATTTTAATTTTTGTTATAATTGACTGCGTTTCAAGTTACCTAAATTGTTTCATGTAAAAGGTTTTTTAATTCTAGTACTTTCACTTTCTTTAAATAAATCCAGAAGCCTTGTTTTGGATTCTGTATATTTAGTAGCAGAATTACTTGTTACGATATCCCAGATGTTTTCAACATGTTTGGGTTCTAACTGTGATACTAAATACGGGGGCATTTCGAAAAGTAGAGATACAATAGCTCGCATTCAAAAAAAAAAAAAAAAAAAAAACTATTTAGAAAACGTCAGTTACATCTTATTAACTGGATTATTTTTTATTTTTCGACATAATCACCCCCATTATCCAAACATTTGTTAAGTCGGTGTGTAAGTTTTTGTATCCCACAGTCATAGAAGTTTGCCGCCTGTTGGAACCCAGCATGCACACAATTTCCTGTACCCTAACTTGACAGTCACAACTTCATAAAGAGTTGTCATTGACATTTCTGGTATGATCTTATGCACTTCTTTCAATTTGAGACGTCTATTCGCACAAATTGCTTCCTCTGTTCTCTGAAGAAGGGCATCAGAGATCACAGATGGTCGACCTGTTCTTTGTTCATCATGAACATCCGTCCTACCTTCAGAGAAATGACGACACCATTTCGTTACATTTTGTCGATTCATAATGTTCCCATAAACAGAAACAATTTCTTTGTGAATATCCACTGGTCGCTGACCTTTTGCATGAAGAAAGTGTATGACGGAGCGCACTTCGCATTTGGTTGGATTTTGAATCGGCGGAATTTTGACACTTACCTTACACAGTTCGTGTGCAGGATCCGTGACAGTTTTATCGTCTTCAGACATATTTGCTTTAAAATCGAAAGTCCAAGTCACCAGTTATTGGCTCTGACTCCAAATTAATCTTTATTTTTACGACTCTGTTTTATCAAATAACGTCAATCCATGTTTTAAATCAAAAATAAGCTTTATTTTATTTTTAGCAAATGTAAACAACTCTTTAGAACAGTATCATTAATAATCTTTTTGTTGCCATTCTCAAAACAACAAAAAATGAATAAAACGATATTAATCAGTATTTGAAGTTTCTGTACAAGTTCAAGCCACAACACAGCTTGTCATTTTAGTGACTACTATAGTGTATGCACGGCTAAGCTAAAGTAACTTAGCTAGATGTAGCTATAAAAATAATAGTAGTTATGCAATTTTTACATACAATAGTTACCCATGTGGTTTATTAGTATTTAACAGTGTAATTATGCTATATAGTGGGATAGTTAAACTCTATTTTATTCTGCATTTTCAGTTACCAAAATACCCAATTATAAGATTCAACTAAATACAAAAACAGAAAGTATATCATAAAAGGGGTCTTATATTCAAGTGAATGCATTTTCTCCTTTAATGAGGAAAAAAATAGGTGTACTGTATTAGATTCTTTATTTTTAATTGATTTGCATCATATTTTCTAGGTGTTTTCATTATCTACCCATCCATATGGTTGCCGTGTGATACAACGCATTTTAGAGCATTGTACTAAAGAGCAGACTACTCCAGTACTTGAGGAATTACATCAACATACCGAGCAGCTGGTTCAGGATCAGTACGGAAATTACGTTGTGCAGCATGTTTTAGAACATGGATGTCAAGATGATAAAAGCAAAATTGTTAATGTTGTTCGAGGCAAAGTTCTGAATTTATCACAGCATAAATTTGCAAGGTAAGGTTTTCCAACCCGTTTTTTTATCTAATGTAGTTGTATTTGTTTTTTGTATATCAAATTGTATTCAGAATTTAATTGTTGTGATTTTATGTAGCAATGTTGTTGAGAAATGCGTTACCCACGCTTCACGGGCTGAAAGGGCTATTCTGATAGAAGAAGTTTGCACCTTCACAGATGGGTGAGTTAAGTTATATTTATATATCGAATGTAGGTAATTTTTTGCAATGTTATTAAAACTATTCTTTACGCATTAAATGCTCAGTTTCTTCATTGAAAAGATATGAATATTTTAAAGTTGATTATTAAAACAATCTTTTTAATCTATAAACTTCTTACATAAATAAATATTGTTAATGCTTAAAAATGGGAATTCATATGAATTTACTTACCTAATGGCAGTACATTTAGTGAATAGATCCAGTTTTTGTTTGAGACTTGTACCCAAGATGTCCAGTGAGCTGGCAAAGCCAATAACCAATTTCAGTTGAATTGATAGTTAATATTAGAACAGCCCCACCCCCTTGAACATTATCGATTATCATCGTGGCATAGGCTGCCTTTACTCCTTTTTTAAGGATGGGGCATATACAAGTCAAATGAATCAACAGGCCATACAACTTACAGTGGGAATGAAACCTTAGTCCTTTCCTTTGCAAAAACTGATATTCATTTGCTGGGTTGTGTCAGCAACCAGCTTCAAATAATAGCTTACCTTAAGTGATGATTTGACTGACTTGCTTTGAGCACTGTGAGTGAATGTGATGTGGTTATAGCTGTAGTAGAAATTATTTTAAGACTGTGAGACTTAAAAGAAGGTTTCTTTAAATACTTAAATTCTAGTCCTAAATAAAAACAGTGTTAAAAGATATTTTCTGTTATAAAATTAAATAATAAAATGCAATATTGTACTTCCATAAAAATCAAATAGTAAGTACTCACTGAAAGGAAAGTTCAAAGATAGGCTGGCTGTATGTAAGAAAAATTAAGACAATATTCATTTGAAATAAGGCATTTTAATTGTTGAACTTGGAAACTGTGATTAAAAAAATGGAAAATTTTTAGAAAATTGCATTTTTCCAATGCAAATGAAAATTGATTCTGATACCAATATTCTCGACATGTTTTTAGAAATTTGTGTTACTGTCTGCATTTTAGAATTGTCATTTGTTAATATTGATGATTTATAACTTTCCATCAGAACTCATTCAAATTTTTATATAGTGGAATTATACAGATCTATATTATGGAGGCTACATTTTGTTTGTACTTTACTACTTCTGGTGTTCTGCTGTGGTGCCATATTGAAATTTATAAAATTATAGGTTATTAAAATTTATTACTTGGAAATTAGATCTGTTATTGAAATAGAAATAAATTTCACAAGACAGGTAATTTGTGTAATATACTGATTGCATTAGAATTCTGTTGGAAAGCTTTGTAATTGGTTGTTATAAATTAATTATTTTTAGGAGTTTCAAGTTCAGCTGTTGAAAAGAGAGAATTTCTTTCTTTCACATAATTCATATTCATTATAAAAGTACAACATGTATAATGGGGATTACATTTGTAATTAAGGCTAACTTAATGATAATTTCTTAAAATTAGATATTTGAAATGTATTACGTCGTCTTTTATGAGGAACCTTAAACCATCAGCAGGAAAATCGGGACCCCAACATTGTAATTCAAGTAAAATTGATGACAGCTTAGAAGTTCTTAATTGTTTTTTGCTTTTAGAATTAAAAGGGTTCAGAATGAGGGGGAAAAACAATTATACATTTTTATTACTCTTTTCTTTGCTTATGAATGAAGAGAAAATCCCAATTCCATGCATATTTAAAGAACAAGACTTGCCAGGTATATAAAGGCATGTGTAGTTGTCTGGTTCATAAAATATTTTGAATGAAAAATAAATTTGTTTATTTATTCACTTTAAATTTTTACATATGTGCACTTTACTGTTGTGACTTGAGCGATTGTTGTGTTGCCTTCATATAAAGAAAAATGTACTGCTATTTGAGAAAGCATTTAGCTCATTTGTACTTTTGATGTGTTTGATTATTATATAAGAAAAAGTATGAAATCATTTTTAAATATATTAGCTTTGCTTTTATTTAAGGCAATTAAAATTGTGTAAATCTAAAGGGAATAAGTGTGCATCTAAACTGTGTCCTGCCCCCTCTAATTCATAGCGTAAAGTGTATAATATACTTTGGTATTTATCACTAATTTAATTAATGAAATTAAGTTTATTATAAATTTCAATTTTGTTTATTAATTGTTTGTATGTTTTATAGCTGTTTTTATTAAATTATAAACTAGTATTTAAAGAGCACACCTACCTTTCTTTGCCTGTGAAAAAAAAAGTAGTGGGAGAAATTCATGAAAATAATTTTCGTTGTGTTACGGAGTCTGTTTTTTCCCTTTTTTCTATGTGACTTTTACCGTTATTCTCCTGAGCATTTATTTATGCCTTTGAATTTTTTTAGGCCTCACAGTGCCTTATATGCTATGATGAAGGACCAGTATGCCAATTATGTGGTGCAAAGAATGATAGAAGTTGCAGAACCACCGCAGCGCAAAATTCTGCTGCACAAGATCCGTCCTCATGTTGCATCTCTACGCAAGTACACTTATGGCAAACACATTCTTGCCAAGCTAGAGAAATACTTGTTGAAAAGTAGTGACCTAGGTTCTTTAGGTGCTCCTGCTAATGGAGCTATTTAGCTTACAAAAAACAACTGCTATCTTACATGTCGGAGTGAGTTAATGGTGTACTGTATAGAGATTAGGATTAACAATGCATGATTATTAAATAATTAACGAGAAAATTGACCGAGTGAAATGTTTCTATGGCACACTATGATTTTATTTAATGTGAATAGTTTTTCCCCCTGCTTTTATAGTTGTAGATAAAGTGCACAAGTATTGACACTTCTGTAGTTTAAAAAATGAAAGTAATTTAGCATTGCCTTTGCTTCAAAATTATTCCAAACTTAACAGTTTTCTGGATTTGTTCATTTATTTAAATTACTTTTTGAACAGTGTTGTCATAAAAGCTTCATTTGCCAAATCATTTTAGCATTTAGGCTTGGTAATTTTGATGGTTTGTTGTAAATAGGATAAATGGACACTCCGACAAAAAGAAAAAATCAATTTGCAATTGTATCTAAAATAGGATTTATAAATAAAACTGATTTTAATTTTGTTCCCATTGTATAACAACTTGCATATTGTGTTTGATATAGTTTTTATTGGGTATACCTAGCCCAGTAGTTGATCTTGTACAGGATGTGTGAATGCATTGTTGGCATGCATCGAAAAAGTCAATTCATATTTATAATGTATCTCATACTTAGTGCTATTGCCATACCCCTGTGTGGTGATTATTACCATGATTATCATACTTATTTATTATAAGCATTGAATTTTTGTTATTAATAATGAATTTCTGATAATCCTGCTCCCATTTAAAAAAAAAGTATTGGAAATTGATAAAATGCAGTTTAGCTTTGGAAAACTTAAAATTGGTCTGGTGCATTAAATAATAAAAATTTATACAAATATTTATGTGATTATAATTTCTGATTTTATATTATTCTGCTAAAGCCTTTTCCATTTAGATAACAATTTCATAAAAGATAATCTGATTACTTGTATGTTTTTTTAAGACTTTGCTTGTATTTCTCTTTCCATATGCACCATAAAATAGCCTTATGAAGTTCCTCATTCCATTAAAAATATGAGGTTGTAGTGATGGTTTTCAAGCTAGGTTTACCCACTGTGTATAGTGTACAATGTGTGAAAAAATTTTGTAACATTTCGGTGCTACAGATGTAATTTTTGAATACTGCTAATTTTTGATAACGTCCTGTACAGTCAGCTCTGTAAAAGTGTAACTAATTCTCATATGTTTTCGTGGATAGGTGTATGGATGCAGCATGCTTTGCTGTTAGCATCATGTAACATATATTACCATGCAGGACTTCTTCCTCTGATTTATAGATTTACTAATGTTACTTTAGTTTTGTTGTAGTTTTTGTGTTTTTTTGTCTTCATGAAAACAATTCCCTAACAGATTATTGCATAGGAAGTCTTGTTACAGATTGTGTATCATGAAATTAAGTATGGTTGATCGTTACTTTTAAATTCGTTGAAATAATACTTGCTGGTATCTTTGAAAGATTTCTGTAGGGCACTGCCTTAGACTTTTAATTAAAACCTTTTGTTTTAATGAAACTAGCCTTACATCTTTGAGTGTTTATGAACTGATATTTCTTTTTACTTTGACTTGTCTTTTCTGAAAACTTTTTTAAGGTTTTGCTCTTCATATAATGCTTTTTTTTATTAGCTTTTTTTTTTTTTTAGATGTATGTATTTCTTTAAGTTTATGTTATGTGGAATGGAAGATGGAAGCTACCGTTTTGCAGTAGTATCTGTGTTAAATGCATAATGGCTGCTACCATTGCATATGATTTGAAAATGCATATAAGGGGATTTATTGTAAGAAAGGAGTAAATATTTTATATAATGGAATTTCCCACATTCTGGGTCATAATTTCCTTGCTTAATTTTTTTCTTTCCTGGTATTTATTGTTTTGCAGATCTAGCTAGCAAAAGTTTTAACACAGACTTTTCAGCCTTTTACTTTGACCCAGCTTGAAGTTTTTTCCCTTAAAGCAATGGTATTTTACATTTAATATGAAGTATCATTGTTAATTTTTATTTAAAAATAATTGCATATTATAAACCTTATCTGTTTCAAATCATAGGTAAATAATAAGAGGCATATTTAGCATATAATGACTTTCCTAACAAAATTGCTGTAGTTTTCCTGTGTGTTATTGCTTAGATTTTCTCTGAATGTGGTTATCTGTAGAAATTTTAAGCTGCATTCAGCAGTAATTATGGTGCCCGTGTGGTATAATCAGCTTGTGAATGTGGGATTTGGTCTCTTGTAATAATTTACTATGGGAATAAAAGTCTATTTCTGTCTGCATATTTGAGAAAAGTGTTGTGGTTAACTTCAGTATTGTTTAGCTTTCTTGTAATAATATATACATATATATATATATATATAAATATATATACATATATAACTTAGCCAATCTGACATGAATGTCATGTTGGTTAAATTTTTGTAAAACTTGTGGAAACATTTTTGTATTCAATTTTTATTGTAATTAGCTCATGTAGAAAATTGTATGTGCATGTAGTGTGTTGTAGGGAGCTATTGTGTTGTAGATTTGGATTTTGTATATTTCTGCTCATTGGCCGCAAAAGCCCTTTTGCAACTGTACAGAGGAAGGGTGGGGACAAGCATGACATTTTTTTCTTATTATAATTTCTTTACAAAATGTATATCTTTTAGAATGAAAAATAGCCTATTTATGGTGTGGTATCAAAGGGGCATATTTTATTCAATTCTTTCAAATTTTGGGGGATGAAAATTGTAAATGAATTTTAATAATGAACAATTAATTGTAAATATGAACTAAAGTATACTTTTATATTGGTCATTCTTTACTTAAAATTTGCCAACAATCGCTCCTGAAGCCTATATTAACTTTGATACTGTTCTTTTTTATTGTTATTTATAAACTAAATATTTGTAATAAAAATTAAATCTTATTTATTTGTTGATACTTGTTTTGCTTCTTCCCCCTTTAAATCCTTCATGAAGAGTTGAAAAAAATTATGAGCTCTTTTGATTGCACACATAAGTACTGTGAATTTTTCTGTGTAAATAGCATAAAATACATGCATTAAATCATGCAACAAATAATTTGTACAGTGTAATTTATTACATAATTTAAAACTTCCTTTTCCATATGTGGGATAGCATTTGGTTAATGCTGCTGGTGTAATATTTAAAAGTTAAGTAACATTATTTTTACAATGTGAAAGTGCCCATTGTTGAGACCAGTTTTGTGTATATAAATTTTAATTTCATAACTACATGTTCCTTATATTTATTTATAGCAAAATCATTTTTGAATTTTACCAATCATGTTAAATTATAACTGTAAAGTTTTGTAATATCCTGATTTCTTTTATCTTAATGAGTATTTTAAATGAACTTTGTAAATAAGCAAAATCAGTATATGTGATGTTCCAGCTGGTTGTAGCAAAGTTTTGCACAAAATTTTCTGTAAATTTTTATACATTTCTGAAAGTAGGTTCATTTCAGTATATTAGCTTTCTTTTCTGTTTTGTACAATTACGCGTTGTTAGAAAAGAAACTTGTAAATAAATTTTTAAAAATTTTCAAGCATTACGCTCATAAAACATGCATGAAATACCCTTCATTTGTTCATTAGATTAAATACCTTATATTCCTCTGTTTTTATCTAATATTTTTGTTATTAAAGTAATATATTTTCATTTTGCTGAATTTAATATTCTTTATATTTAGATGTTTTAATTTAAGTTTTTTAATATTTTTATTTAATTCCAGCTACTCAATGCTTCAAAGAACCATCAGTCTTCCATGCCATTAACTTTTGTTATTGGTAAAAATACCTGATGGTTTTTCTGTATATTTTAAGTTTTAATAAGCTAAGAAGTACTCTTTTGATGTGTGTACCAGCTTCAGTGATAACTGTTTGTGTCAAGTATATGTATTAAATATACTCTAGTAAGATTAAAACATTTTCCATCTGTAAAAAATCATTTCTTTTAAGCATTTACCATGTAAATTAGAACATAATGAAATATGCGTGATATAAAATCTCTTCTTTAACACAAGTTATGTGTATAGTCTGAGCTTTTGAATTACAGTGACATAAACATAGTAATTACGTTATGGTAATACATGACAATGTGAGTGCCATATTTTATTTGACCATTTCCCAGTATCTTTTTTAAACATATATTTATTAGGTATTTTACAGTTGTCTTTTTTTCAGATTTCTGTATATTGTTCAAATTGTCCTTTGGCATGCATGCTGTAAATTACAGATACACATAATTAAGGTAAAATAAGTTTTTTAGATATTCAAGTTTCATTGTTTATGTTATTTTAATTCTTAAAGCTCAGCTGTAGGGAATTAATTTTTAATTCTTGCCTTTTGGGTCATCTCAGGCCATTACATTAACTATAAGGTGCCTCAAAGCAGAAATGTCTGCACCAGTGTTGTGTCATCCCCTCTTACACTGTACATTGAGAAGGTGCTTAAATATATCTCCTAACCTACTGTGTTTAGGCCATGTACAGTATGTACATTTGTAAATTGGTGCACTGTGAAACACCGTGTACAAAACATCAGCATTGTAGTTTTCCACGGACAACCCTGTATATTTCTCTGAAAATGGCTGTTTTCAGTCTCTGTATATGGAACCCCATCAGGTCATCTTTTTACATTGGAAGCACACAATCTTCATAGGCCTATAAGAGGAGAAGCTTATTTTACTGTTATGTCAATTATTATTAAAATCATCACTTCACATTTTTTTTGGCTACATATATAAATTTCTTTGTCTTCCTGTACTTAGTAAAGCTTATCAGCATATTTCTAATTAAGGGGCTTTTATATCACTTAGAAGGGAAAGTTAGTTTTTAAAAGTTTTTAAATCGATAGTTTCAGCAGGCATGTATTATTTACAATCTCTAACTCAATTGTATTATTTTTTCGTAAAAAAAAAAAAAAAAATTTCGTTTTCTAGTGTATAATTTATATATCTGAAAAAAAGTCATTTGGATATGGGATTATTAAATACGATCTTTATCTTTTCTTTTAAAATGTAGTTTTTAATAAACTGAATTTTGTGACTTAAAATAATTTGTGTATAAATTCATGTTATTTATGATGCAGTAGTGCATCTCATGTGTAAAGAACATCTCAGTGTGATACATTGTGTCCAAGCAACTGAATTTCTTTAGCAGGGAGAACATATAACTGAGGAAAATTATGTAAATTATTTTTTATTTATGCAACAGCTATTTTTTCCTATATAGCTTTCTCAATTTGTATTCATTGAAGAAGTGCTGAAAAGATATAATCGATCAATATTGAGAGAAATATATATATATATGAACTGTATATTACTAAGTTTCTTGTTGTGTTTTTCTTTATTTCTTAGTATTGTATAATAATTGTTCAAATTATAGGATAATGGAAAACTGCATTGTTAGTTTAATATCAAAATTTATATTCTATTTATTTTCACGTGAATTTTTCATGGAAAAGAAATCATTTATATTAAGAATATTTAAATGGCAATTATGTAAATTATTCATTATGTAAATTAATTGTAATATACATAACTAAGTTGCGTGATATTAAACTTTTGTACTTCATTTCTAGTCCAAAACAAGGTGCCCAGATTGTTACCAAAATGATGTCAACACTTTTTTAATATTTCAATTACAAGCATCTCCTCTTTAACATGGTAGTGTTTTGAGATAAGATGAGCAGTATTTTCTTAACAAAGAAGATCCTTCACATGACAAAAAAATGGAAATTAATGTGATAAATATAAGTTTTGAGTTTTTCCAGAATTCAAAAAAAAAAAAAAAAAATTGCAATCTTATTTTTCAATCCTCATAAGTTAATGCTGAGTACTGCCACACATATGATTTAACTTGTATATTTCATATAATTTATGAATTTTGATCTCTATAAAATTTGTCAAACAATTCTTCAAGTATCTGATTTTTTTGTGGGGAGGGCTTTGTTTAATTACACGTAGGTATACATGCGAACTTAATTTTTGCTTTATATTTGAGTAAGCCATTAGCAATTCTTTCAAAATAAAAATTGGTTAGTGGCTTCTGGTCTGGGCAGTTTGTGGATTTATTCTTTGTGTATGTTCGCACCCTTGATGTAGTCTTGGACACTGTACATGTTGTATCATATCAGTTGTGTTTTTGGTCACTGTAGAAAATAAATTTGTTTTGCAGTGAAGCCTTTGTTTCAAAATATTCTGTTGCATTTTATATGAGTCACCCCCCCCGAAACCATTTTAAGAAACACATGGCAGCCTAATGTCAGTGAAACTTGCATTTCTGAAAAAAGTCTAAAAAGCATAGACATTTTGATGTATTAAAATTTCATTTGGAAAATATAATTTTCATGATACAGTATTAAACAAATTAAACTCTAGGTATCTGTATTTATTAAAAAATAACTGACAGTTAAATAAATCTCTTTATTCTATTCACATTGGCATAGGGTTTATGTATATTAAATACTATATATATTGCAAAGGTACATTGATTTTAAGACCCTAATTTATTGGAAGCTTTGCATTAATAAAATGTATTAAAATTAAAATAACACTTTACTGAAATAATCTTCATATTGAAACACTGCTGTCATATTGAGCTTGTTCTTTTATAAATGATAATATAAAGTAAGTCAAATGTTCACCCTCCCACATATCATCAGTTCAAAGATTGAAATTGTAATATATGTAATTTCTTTTAAGATTTTGATGAGGTTTGCACATATGGAGGTAGTTCATGGTAGTACAGTACATGAATTTGAAGTGAGTTTCAATGTATTTGTTATATTTTCAATATAACATGAATTTGAAGTGAGTTTCAATGTACTTGTTATATTTTGAATATAACATGAATTTTTTGGTCTTTGATCATCTCGTATCATACATACATTTTGTCAATTACTTCAGGCCATTATAATTTGGCAAAGCACACAAGAGTTATATCATTTGGGGAAGGAACCTGTTTTAGAATTTAATATCAGTTTTTTTTTTAAAAGGAAATTCTAAGAACCATAGTAGGGAAGTAATCGAATGAATTTTTAAATTGTCTTTTTAAGTACCGTAATTTCGCACGTATAGTCCGCAGACACGATTTTATAAAAAAAAAAAAAAAATTGTCAGATAGTCCGCACCACCGTATAGTCCGCGGACTATACGTCCGAAATTACGTTTTTTTTTTTTTAATACGGCAATATTCCCATGCTTTTTAAACACATTCCTTTTGTTTGCACAAATTTCTCACCAATTTCTTGTCCACTTCAAAATAACGGAGTAAAATCTTAGTATACGGTGCAGCCTTGGCGCGACTTTGAAAATTATGCCAACACCAAAAAATGATCCAAAGAACGTCTATATATATATACTATACACGCATAGGTATATACTATATACATAGTAATACTATGTTTAACTATATATTTTCTTTGAATGACCCGTTAACTACTCATCGTATATGTCCCGTTTTTACTGCTCATCATAAAGTGGCCAAAAGTAGTCAAATTCCGTGTGCACCGGATACTAGGATTAAACCAATAACGACCCGCTTCTCTATTTCCATCTTTTTCAGTTTTCTCAACTACCTCTCAGCAGTAAATCTCCGGCGATGTTTCATCAACGTTAGCGAAGACGAAAGACAAAATACGAAAACAAAATGCTATCCTCGTGATAAGTGGTAATGAAATGTGACCTTCGACCCCACTCACTCGGTGTTGCCAAACCACGCTATAAGTAAACGAATCACGCTGTTTTTTTTTCGTACTCCAGGTACTTTCTACTATGGCTCCTAAAAACCGAGTTGACGCATCAACTACTTTTCCCCCTCCCGGCAGTTGTGCTAAAGCAGCGCGAAGGATACTTGAAATCTCGCGCTTTTTTTATATTTGATCATCGGCAGTTCACGACAGCGTGTTTTTTAAATTTCAACAATTTTAACTGTGAACAACCAGCGTATTATCCGCACTGGTGGATAGTCCGCAGCTTTAAAAATTTGCATTTTAAACACAGATAGTCTGCGGACTATACGTGCGAAATTACGGTAATTTATTTTGCAAAACTTAAACTTTTTAATACTTCAGAAATCTAGTTTTCATTTTAAATCTTAAAACTCTTTTTAAAACAACCACTTAAATGTTGCTTTCTATAATTATGAAGTTAACTTTAAACAAATCCTTTCAAATATTTCAGTTTTCACAATGAGTGTGCATTTGGTTCTATGATTAACTTCATAGAACAAAATTCAAAAAATAATTTTCTTATTAACTCGGAGGTTATTTCAGCGTAACTGCCCTCATTTTTTAGGTTTTCAGCTATCTGTAATGCATAATTTTCTTTATGTGTAATGCAAATTTGGAACACGTGCAAAAACATACTTACTTGGCAGATTTGTTGTGATTGTCTGTAATTAAATAAATTTAAAGGTTAAAGAATTATGGAAATATCAGCTGTACCCAAATGAATTATTACCTTAGAATGGCTGACTGTGGATCAGCTTTTTTAGCAAGTTTTTTCCTACTAGGGCCTTTGCTTGCATAAAGTTCAGAATTAAAGTTGTAGCTGTGAAATAATGACCACAGAATTGAATACTAAGACATATATCTTTTCATAGATAGTTTTCCTCAAATGAGAAAGAAGCAGAGTCTTCTCGGAGATAAAAAGTCTCCTTTGACTTACCAGTCCTGTGTAATTTATAGCTATCAAGATTTCAAGTGCTTATAGTTTTTTCATTTTGTTCAATAGTTGATTTAGTATTTTTGTGTTTTTGAGATCATTTATTTGTACTTATAGTTATTTTCCAACGTGTTCATATTAAGAGTCTTGGCAATCATAATGTCTTGCTATAAAGTATTTTCTCACTCCTTTCTGCATACCTTCGTAGTGTTGGTAGCACACAACGCATATTCGAGAGACCAAGGTTTCAGTCCCAACGATGTCATTGCTAATTTTTCACGTCTCCTGCTCCACAATAACGTAATGAATCTGCGGTGAAGGCCGAACTAAAAAGGTGGTGGAAGATGATTCTTCAGCACCAGGATTTGACTGTTGGGTCCCCTAATCCCCCTTGAAAGGGGAGAGTGTATAAGGTATTTTCTCTCTCCTTTCTGTATGCCGTCATGGTGTAATGGTAGCACACTCGCCACATATTCGAGAGGTACAAGTTTGAGTCTATATGAGGGCATTGTTCATTTATCACATCTCCCGTATTAAAAAAAATTCTAGTGACTCTACATTGCAACTTATGCTGATTGAAACTTTAATGTTCAAGGTTATTCTTTTTTTTTAGCATAAGTGTTCATTTTTATATTTAGAGAAGCTTTTTTTGCTGGCTATGTATTTTCTAAGTAAGTTGTTAGTAACATTTTCAGTGTGATCATTGTAGCAGGATTGTGGCAAGCCTTTTGGATCCACAGCTTATCTTCAGGTTAAATAATTAAATAAATTTAAAAGTTAAAGAATCAAGGAAATATCAGCTATACCCAAATGAGTTATTACCTTAGAATTGCTGTCTGTGGATCAGCTTCTTTAGCAAGTTTTTTCCTACTAGGGCCTTTGCTTGCATAAAGTTCAGAATTACAGCTGTAGCTGTGAAAACATGAAATAATGATCACCGAATTGAATACCAAGACATATATCTTTTCACAGATAGTTTTCCTCGAATGAGAAAGGAGCATAAGAGTCTTCTTTGAGATAAAAAGTCTCCTTTGACTTACCAAGTCCTGTATAATTTGTAGCTATCAAGAATTCAAGTGCTTATAGTTTTTTTTCACTTTGTTCAGTAGTTTAGTATTTTTGTGTTTTTGAAATCATTTATTTGTATTTGGAGTTATTTTCCAATGTGTTCCCTAGAAAACTTGTTGCTGGGTAGATTTGCTTATTATCAGCAGTTTGAGATACTTAATGTAAAAAATGCAGATTTTGATCATATATGGCCTTGTTTGTAAGTGCCCAATTTTGAGATATCTATCATGTTTGGTTTCATATGTGAAATCATCTCTCATTCTTTGTAGCTTCCTAAGTTCGAGACTAAAGGTCCTTCACTCACCCTATCGTGTTTAGTTTCAAATGTGCAATGTCATTAGTTTGTATTTAGCTTTTACTTGTGAAAAAAGATATTCCTCTTTTCCAGTGTGCTTTGTCAAGGGCTGATGAGACTGGGATTTATCTTAGCTAACAGAAGACAACTGACAAAGCTGACTGAATTCCAAAATCAGTTTTTCCCCATAGTGCACTGAGTTGAAAGTCTGAACTGCATGCACAGTGGAGCTAGTTAACACGTGGAACTTATTGTTAGCTCTTACAAACCTCAGTCTGAATGGCCCTTAAGGCACAGAAATCTTTGATGATGAGCAATCACAATTTTTAAGAATCTAGTGATTTCCTTCTTGGGTTTGAAAATTCCAAAATTCAAAGCAGTACCTTTGATGTGGGCAGTAATCACCACCCAAATTTCTGATTTTCTGCCAATGTTTTGGTAGTTTTCAAAGCCTTCAGAACTTGGTGAGTGCAAGTCCGAAAACGGATCAACCTAATTACAGATGTCCTGTGCAGAATTGGAGATAGCACCAGCAAGATATAGATACATGTGTGAGAAAAGGTAGAAGTCCGAAGGAGCGATGTGGAGGCTATATGGTGGGTGTGGCAAAAGATTAAGGTGACCATACGTCCTGATTTTTTACAACTTGTTTTTTGGTCCTGAGTTTATAGCATTTGTCTCCAAAAACAGTAGTCTTAGACCGTAAAAGTTTAAATGCATATATTTATTTAAGTCGTGTAGATTGCAAATTGAAAATACAAGTGTAAGTTAAGAGATGCGTGCTGTACGAGCTGTTACTTCAGGAAAGGAACTGCATTTTTGATATTATTGCATATATATAAATAAATATGACAATTTTACTAATGCCTTACATGTAATGCCATTTTTACGTGCAAAACATCACTCCCTTCTCAACTGCAGTTTTTTTAAACAGTATAAATTTTATCAAGTTAGAACCATCTACTTCAGGAAAAGATGTAACTGCTAATCCAACATCAATAAATGTAGAAAATAATAAAATGAATTTATTTATTCTACTTCAAGAAAAGATGTAACTGCTAATCCATCATCAATAAGTGTAGAAAATAATAAAATCAATTTTTTTTTCTTTTCAAATCTGAAGTTACAGATGCAGAAATATTGTGGGCTTTT